TTGGATCAAAAAAGATTCATAAAGATTTAAAATATCTCCAAGGCAATTGTGTAACGGACCGTACACAAAAGAATGCATACAATATAATATATATAATACAAATCAACACATACAAACAATTAATATTCATGCATCAGCATAACACCTAACGTGACAAACAATTCACTTATTAAAGCAGTTGCAATTACAAAGTAACCCAAGCCTGTTGTGTTTTATATTATTAATAATTATTAATCCACAGCGTATTGAATAATAGGTAAATTATGTATATATTATTCAGCAATAAATAGTAGAAATTCATTGTCTTTCAATTCTATTATTGTTATTAATCATGGTGAAACTGATTCGATTTATTTATTATTGCATTAGTAGGGTAATTATTTTGGTCACCGTTCGGAAATTGTTGGGCAAATGGTTTTTTGCGTCTTTTAGACGTCAGAAACAACTTACCGGTGTAATTTTAGATTTTCATATTGCCAAGGTAGGCAGCGCAAGAGCTGAGAACACACCTTCTCTCAATCACATCGGTTCTAAATGAAGAGTAATCAGCATTTATTATCAGAATTTGGGTATTGGTGAAGTTTCAAGCGATTTGGGTGAAAATAGAACAGTTTTTACTCAATATTTCATGAAAAATAATGATTTCGAAGCAATTTAATAGTTTTGGTTTTTTAAAAAAATAAAGAACACTTTCTTAGAAAAAGAATTTGAAGTGAAAGCGTATTTTCTTTATTTTGCGTTGAGAAAAAAAAACCTCCCTACATTTTGAAATTACTCCTCTTTCGTCCTTGTTTTTTCTTTCATTCAAATGTTCATACAAAAGAGATATTCTAGTTTGTATAAAAAAGAATGAAAAAATTGCTTGACATTTTGAATACAATCAATTCACAAACAAGATCTATTACTAGGGGATAGACACAGTAGGGAATGAATGAATACCAATGAATTGTCATAATACCTATCTATTTTCAAATACGACAGTTAATAACTTATTTAAAGATTACTTGTACTAAAAATGTGAATACCGTGATTAACAAATGTCACATTGATATCGGTAATAAAGATTTCAAGTTTTTTCGAAGTAATGCTTGATTTATCCATGCATAAATGAGTGGAATTCAAAAAATATCTTAAACCCCCGGGTATACGCAGAAAAATTAACCAATTTAATCAAAATTATATGATGTGAACTCGAGCCATATCGACCATCGTCAAAAAATTCATGAAAATACACAGAAATTCGGTAGTTCAAACTAAGTGACTTTAATCAAAATCGTAGAAATAATTATGTCTCTTGTTGATGGCTACAACCTTGTTTGAGTTATGTCATAAACAAACAAACGATTTTAAGGCTTGCTATGCATCAAGCAATAAATAAATTCCGTTCTCTAAATAGTCCTCGTCAATTGTGATGTGGAACATAATAGAACCTCTGCGACGTTCACAAACCATACAGAACATAATGCATTAAACTAGGCATTAAAGTGCAAGCCAAATACGAAACACATGCACTTGTCATACTCTATTCGCAGCAATTTAATCATCATTTATTCTATGGTGCAGTGCATTTATTATTAATCCAAATATATCCTTACGTTACCGATGCACTCCAACATTAATTGAAACTTAGATTTAGTTTTCGCTAAAGAGCTCTTGAAGATCGTCGAATCTCTCTGAACATATAACAATTACAATTCGGTATACTGAATTCGGTCATTCGTGCTTCTTCGTCTACTTAAATTGTTTCAAAAATATTCAACTACACACTTTTGAAAAAAGAAACTTATATTTTTGTGATAAGTTCACATAATTTTGTTACTTTTTCTATTCGATACGACTTTCTATCAAAGATTTTGAGTTTAAGCAAAATGAAAATTTTCTTAACACTTCGAAGGGTAATGGATATTGTGGGATTGAATAGGTCGCTGGCATTTGAAAAATTTCAAGGGTTCAATGTTCGAATGTTTATTTCTGCTTTTTTTATGATTGAATTTTCGATTTCATCAATCATATTTTTTCTTATCGAAGCTAAAACCTTCGGTGAATTTGCCGACTCATGTTATATTTCTATAACGATGATAAATTTATCTATACTCATGTGCGTTTTTATATCGAAAAATGGAAAAATTTATAAATTTTTTGACAACATTGAAAGTGCCATTCAAATACGTGAGAATTAAATATTCACTAAAATTACTCTCGATGGTATTGTTTAATAACGCTTAATTTCAAATTTTAATGGTCGATATAGGTTCGGAAAATGCATCGACGGCGGCATATTTTACAGCGTCAGTTGAAAAAATGGAAAAATTTACAAAATGGTTTCTGTATAGTTTCCAAATAACGTTTGTATTCTTGATGCTGCCGATGCTGGTTATCACTTTGTATACGTTTTTTACTGATGGTCTGCAAACCGAAGACTATCAATTACCTTTTTTTGTCTGGTAAGTTCGTCCCTCTTGAATGTCATTGTATGTCACACAGCAACGACCCCTATCAGCGGCCATATGATAAGAAGATTTTCAAAGATTAATTTTGCCGCCAGAAAAGTTCACTCCAGTAGGAGTATTGTGTTGTTGTTGTTTTACGTATAAAGTCAATGACATTCAAGAGGGACGTAGCGCACGTATTACATTCCCCTTAATTGTTATTACGCAAAAATGCATTAAGTCTTAATCAGTGTGTCCATAATATATAGAAATAGCACTAAATAGTGTGTAACTAAATAGCTGAAACACATATTTGAACTGAGACTTGACTCAATTGAATGAATTTCATTGCAAAGAAGTAGCTACCAAACTTCATTTAAAACTTTTTTCTCCAAATAATTTCCAAAGGCAACCATTCAACTGGCGGAGACCGATTGGATATTTAATCGCTTACACTCTTCAATGTGGAGCCGTACATTATTTATTCATGTACTGCGTTATATGGAATGCTTTTCAAGTGATAACTTCTTTGTTGTTTGTGACATTTGCTAAGGATGCTAAACAAGAACTGAAAAATATTAACGAACTAAACAAAACTGGTGGTAATGAAGCAGAAACTATAAAAAGATTTCACAAAATCATTCAGTACATCGTCGATGCAAAACAGTTAAGTTCAATTTTATTTTTGTTATTAATCATGGTGAAAACAGTTTCGGTTTTGCTCACGTTCTTCAAAATTTAAAAGAAAATCGGTAAATGTTAAAACAAAGCCATAGCTTCTGAAATCAAGTTGCACCGAATTTCTGTGTATTTAAATGAATTTTTTGGGCGCACACTACCTGACCCCCTGGGTCACTAAATCTGTGTCGAAGAATTTTTATGATTACGGTTGTTTTCATGAAAAGCCTTTTCGAAATTTCGATAATAATTCTTTTTTGCGCAATTTTCACTTTTTTGTTCAAAAAAATGTCCGCCAGATGTCGTATCGAAATTTTCAAAACATTTTTGGAAATCACAAATTAATCACTAAAATACTGCATCATTAGTTTTTTGAAATTTTGTTTTATTTTGAATTTTTCAAAATTTTATTTATAGACTTTTTGATGAATAGGCTTTTTCACAAATTCAAAAAATTGCGTCACAAATTTTCACTAATTAATCACTAAAATTATGTGAAGTTTGAGCCCCTGGGTAGTGTGCGCCAATTTTTTGACGAAAGTCGATATGGCTCGAATTCAATTCATATAATTTTGATTAAATTGAATAATTTTTCTGCGCACCCCGAAGCCCCTCAAAATATGTTTTGAATTCCTTTTATGCATCATTACATCAAGTATTAGTTCCAAGTATTTTGGCAGTGAATTATTATAAATTATCTAAACAATTTCTATTATTCATGTTGATTTAGATTTGTTTCGGACTACAACCATATTTATATGTTTGCAATTTTGACATTCTTAACATGGGGTATACTTACTGTATGTGGCACACTGATGATGATTCAAATCGAATTGGTTGAGTACCTAATATTTTAAAAATTTCATTCAATCCAAAATACATTTTTCTTATAAATTTTAGTCACAAGAACACACGGACTGGGCATCGTTTGTGATCAGTTTCTTCCAATTATTTTGGACATTTGTTCTTATGTTCCTATTGTGTTACAGTGGTCAAGAAGTAACAGGTGCATTTGATGATCTTATGTATGAGGTTTATCAATGTGAATGGGACTCGTTTCCACACCCACTACGACGCATTCTACCCATTCTTTTGATTTTTATGAAAGAGCCTGTCCAAATTATAGCATATGGTGGTGTCAATTGCTCACTCAAAAGATTTAAAAAGGTAAAAAAAGTGTATCGAATTGGATTTTCAATTAATGCGAGTTAAATCATCATTTACACAGATTGTCAACGGTGGTTATTCATACTATGCTATTCTCCGTGAGTTCTACTGAGTGAATCAATCGCATATTTCTCGATGTTGGATTTTAATGGAATATAATTATATATTTTTTCAAGAACACATTTTCTGACTTTGTTCGAATCACAAATTGTTTATATAAAAACATTTAAATGCACTTGTGCACAAAAATAGCACATTGATCTGCAAAATTTGATTTTTCAAGAAAATCGTTGAACCACTCGATGGGCTTATCAAAATGGAGTGTCAAAGCAATAGAATGTTGATAAAACGTTTCATTTAAATAAAATTTATTTCTCTAATTCGTGTACACTGTGCATAATTAAATAGTCGAAATTCGGAAAAAATCCCAAGGGACTGAATTTCATATTAACCAGTAAAGGTATCGAAGTGTTAATAAAAGTTTTCAAATTCACCTATATGGATCGATATAATGTGCCGAAAAAATAAATTTGTGAAAATAAGGGGGGCCCAATCGAATTAGGGGGGGCAGGGGAGTACCCCACCATGTCAAAATTTGTTCGGATCAAAAAATAATGTACTACAAAGTTGTTCAGAATGATCAGGGGATCAAAATAATATAAAAATGAACCCCCGCCCTCCGAATTGGGTCATTCAGGGCGGCCAAAGCAACATGCCAATGGAAACTACATTGGAAACAACCCCTTATTTTCACAAATTTATTTTTTTGGCACATTATATCGATCCATATAGGTGAATTTGAAAACTTTTATTAACACTTCGATACCTTTACTGGTAAGATATAATAATTATTTTCCGATATTTATTTGGAATTTGAATAGAAATTCATTATTATATCTTAGATCAAGTGGTCTCGTTTGTGTACACGAATTAGATAAATCAATATTATTCAAATGGTGATTAATTTCGGGCACATCAAAAGGTTTTTCCATAAATCCATTCTATCTTGTTTAATGTAGGGGTTTTCATCCACTCGGAACAAAATCGACTTCAAAAATCGCTAGAAAATCGGAAGATTTTCTCTCATCTCAGAAAGTGAACAGATAAAAAGTCTTCACTTTTGAAATCAAGAAACTTTTGTAAAATTAATTTAAGAAAACAATGTAATTGGCAGCATCTAAATGAATCATTGCACGAATGCTTCGTATTCAGATTTAATGTACCGAGTAAAATGAATAATAACAATACATTTAACATTATAATTATGAATAAATGATATTCAAATAAAAACCTCAAATCAATAGAAAGCATTTTTTTACAAACGATTTTTCTATTAAATTTGACAAAAAAAAGTTCTAGAAAAAGAATGAAAAAATTGCTTAACATTTTGAATACAATCAATTCTCAAACAAAAACTATTCTCATTTTGATTCAATCGATTTGTTCACTACATTGGATACGTTTTTATGTGAAAGTAAATTCTTCATCATTCAAAATAGGAAGATGTGCAAAAAATTGGGTAAATTTTCTAGCGAGAAGGTTTTGATATTTTTGCGAAGATTATCATAATCATTCAATTTGATTCATCGTCATTGTTATTTTAATACATGTCACATGTTTGTCAGATAAATTTCAATAACCAAATGTAAACATTCGAATTGTCTATTGTAAAAAGAACAATTCTCCATTACAATATATTTTCCTTAAAATAGAAAATATGCATACATGCCATTTTTATGAAAATTATTTGACAAAGTTGAAACAAAAGTCTGTAGTCGAATTTAGATCTGTTTAAAGTTAGATGCAAATTTTGAAAATGTCAAGTGAAGTCGTGTCAAATCGTAAAACAACTTATATGGAAATTGAATAGCCTCATCTGTTACGATCCCACATGAATTTGGCAAAAGCACAATAACAAATTAATACTAACCGTTGTCTAAATAGTCCTCGTCAATTGTGATGTGGAACGTAATGAAACCTCTGTGACGTTTACAAACTATATAGAACAATGCATTAAAGTACAAGCCAAGCACGGAACATGTGCACTTTTCACATTCTATTCACGGCAATTTATTTATCATTATTTTCATTGGGATTTGAGCTCGCTTTAATCCTCACCCATTCATTTATTCTATGGCGCAGTGCATTTATTATTAATCCAAATATATAGTCACGTTATCGATGCACTCCAAAATTAATTGAAACTTAGATTTAGTTTTCGCTAAAAAGCTCTTGAGGACAGTCGAAAACATAATCAAAATTCGGTCATTTGTGCTTCATCACCTACCTAAATAAGAAACTAATATAGTTTTCTATTCGACACAACTTTCGATCAAACATTCTCGAATACCTTTAAATATTATTGTGATAATTAGCTCAACGATTTTCAGTTTAAGCAGAATGACAATTTTCTTAACACTTCAAAGGATAATGTATTTTGTGGGATTGAATAGATCGCAGGCTTTTGAAAAATGTTTTTGGTTCAATATTCGAATGTTCATTTGCGCTTTTTTTATGATTTGTTTTATTCTTTCATCAACCATATTTTTTCTTATCGAAGCTGAAACCTTCAGTGAATTTGCCGATTCAGGTTATATTTCTTCGACGGTGATAAGTACATTTATAGTCCTGATCATTTCTATTGTGAAAGCCAAAAAAATTCTTCAAATATTCGACAACTTCGAAAGTGCCATTAAAAAACGTGAGAATTAAATATTCAATAAAATTGCTCTGGATGGTATTGTTTAATAACGCTTAATTTCAAATTTTAATGATTGATATAGGTTCAGAAGATGCATCCTTGGCGGCATATTTTACGGCGTCAATTGAAAAAATGGAAAAATTTACAAAATGGTTTCTTTATAGTTTCCAAATAACGTTTGTATTCTTGATGCTGCCGACGCTGGTTATCACTTTGTTTATGTTTTTTACTAAAGGCCTGCGAACCGAGGACTATCAATTACCTTTTTATGGCTGGTAAGTTTTCGCGCGCTCATCACTGTATTACATTCACCTCAATTGTTATTACTCAAAAATTTATTAAGTCTTGATGAGAACGACTGTGCATTTATAACAGTTTTTTACACAATTTTTATATGCATAGATTTTATTGAGCTGAAAGCATTGAGACATTCTTTGCATTGCATATATGCACCTACTTGAAAATCTTTGTTTTCCCCCGTACTCATATAACGAAAGCATATTTGAACTGATATAACATATGCTCTAGGGGGTTTCGAATTATACGAATGTTTGCGAGCGAATGTTTCATACATATTTTGCGAATGGAAGCAAATGATCACGCATACAAACTAAACACAGAAATGTTTATGTACAAATCACAGCAATATGTCGCATCTTGCAAATAGTATGCGGCATTCGCGAATGGTTTCGAATGAAATATACGAATTTTCATAGTATGAATAGTAAAATGTTTATATTTTGCGAATAAATTGCCATTCGCGAATAGTAGAAAGCCCACGAATGGAAATTTTTGTGCAAATTTTGTTTGACAGTAGAGTAGGAGTCCCGTTAAGTCTCCTATGTGCAATGTTTGACACTTTTGATTTGGTTTATGTAGCGGAATAAATGCGAAATTTTATAGGAATTGTCAACTAGATCCAAATTCTATATGACATGTCCTATTGTTTTCAATGTATTTATTTTCTGTGTGTTAATTCAATGAATTTCATTTCGAACAAATAGCTACTAAACTATAATTAAAACTTTTTTCTTCAAAGGCTACCATTCAACTGGCGAACACCGATTGGATATTTAATCGCTTACGCTCTTCAATGTGGAGGAGTTTATTATTTATTCATGCGTGTCGTTTTTGCTACTGGTTTTATGGCGATATTTACTGCGATGCTGGTGATATTTGCCGAAGATGCTAAAGAAGAAGTGAAAATTATCAACGAAATTAATAAAACTAGTGGTAATGAAATAGAAACTATAAAAAGATTTCACGAATTAATTCAATACCACGCCGATGCAAAACAGTTAAGTTCAATTCTATTTTTGTTAATAATCATGGCGAAAATAGATTCGTGATTATTTATTATTGCATTAATCATAGTCAAAAGCATGATTGATTACCAAACGAAATCGAACTGAATGTTTCCTCCTTAAAAAATGAATTGAAAACGTTTTTGTCTTTATTTTGCTTTGAGAGAATAGAAACCTCTATACATTTTGAAATGTCTCCTCTGCTATTATCAATGTACCGTTCGTTTGCGTTCATTTCTCTTTGAACGTATATCGGACGAACATTTTCATTTGAATCAGGGAAGTGTTCTTTCCTGTTTTTTTCACAAAAACGTTCATGTTCAAGAGTCCCCTCTTGGACTACCAACTTCAGAAACTATGACTATGGATATGCATTTCGTAATTTTTGATATTATCTAAACAGTATTTGTTGTCCACTCTGATTTAGACTTGTTTCGGACTTCAACGATATTTATGAATATATGCTTCTTACATTGTTAATATGGGGTGTTATTAATGTGTGTGGTACACTGCTCATAATTCAAATTCAATTGGTTGAGTACCCAATATCTTTGAAGTTTTATTCAATCCAAAATACATTTTTCTTATTAATTTTATTATAAAATTTAGTCACAAGAACACACGGACTGGGCATCGCTTGTGATCAGTTGTTGGCAATTATTTTGGACATTTTGTCTCTTATTCTTAAATTGTTACCGTGGTGAAGAAGTAACAGGTGCATTTGAGGAAGTGGCCGATGAGTTTTATCAATGTGAATGGTTTTCGTTTCCAAACAAACTACAACGCATTATACCCATTTTGACGATAAATGGTCAACAACCTGTCAAAATAACAGCATATGGCGGTTACTCTTGTTCACACGAAAGATTTCAAACGGTAATAAAAAGTGTAAATATCGAGTTAGATTTAAATTAATGCGAGTTAAATTATCATTACACAGATTGTCAAAGGTGGTTATTCATACTACACTATTCTCCGTGAGTTCTACTGAATCAATCGCATATTTCTCGATATTGAGTTTTTATGGAATTTAACTATACATTTTTAAAAAAGCCAATTTTTTGACATTGTTGAACAATGATTGTTCGCAAATTGTTCATAAAAAAAAGATTTAAATGTACTTTGAATATTTCACATATTTAATTGCAAATTTCTTTATTAATTAACACAAACTAGCACATGAAATCTGCAAAACATGGTTTTTAATGAAAGGTGTTGAATCACTGTATTCCAAGAAAATGGCAAATATGATTATGAGCATATCGAAATGGAGTTTCAAAGCAATAAAATGTTAATGATAAAACGTTTCACTTGAGTAAAATTGATTTGTCCAATTCGTGTACAAGGACATCTTTGAAAGGACATCTAACCAGTAAACATATCGAAGTGTTAAAAAAAGTTTTAAATTTCCTTAGTACAGATCGATATAAAGTGGCGAAAAAATAAGTATGTGAAAATAGGGGGTGCCCATACCATGAGGGGGGGTCGGGGGAGCACCCCACCATGTCAAAATTTGGTCGGATCAAAAAATAATGTACTACAAAGTTGTTCAGAATGACGAGAGAAATTTTTTATGACCCCTGCCCTCCAAGTCCCCCCACCCCCCAGGGGGGTCGGGGGGTCAAAAACCCCCAAGATATGATTTTTTTTTACTCGAAATCTCGAAATTCGAAATCAGCATCTCAAATTACCCTAGAAATAATATTTGTCTCGTGCCCATTCACCCCAAGTCTCCCAACAACAAAGAGCCCCCCCATTGGGGTAAAATGATACAAAGTCGATTTTTCACATTTTGGGTGAGGAATTTTGCACTCAAATGCAAATTTTGACATGGTGGGGTGCTCCCCCGACCCTCCCCCTATTGGGCACCCCCTATTTTCACATACTTATTTTTTCGCCACTTTATATCGATCTGTACTAAGGAAATTTAAAACTTTTTTTAACACTTCGATATGTTTACTGGCTATGTTTTTTCCGAAAAAGCATCTGAAGAGCTACAAACTGAGCAATTTTAATCAATATCGTAGAATTTGAACTCGAATTATAACGCATAAATCAAGTAGTTTTCAGATTCCCATACAAATTCTTAGGAAAAACCTCATTTGCAAAGAAAATAACTTCATTTGTGCCATTTTGTTTACTCAGTTTGCTTCAAATTTTTATTGAAAAATATAACAAAAAGTGTTTTTTATAGTATATTATTTTTTCGTTGAAATCTTATGGTTAGAAAATAATTAATTAGAATATTTTTCCAGTGATTTGGAAAAAAAAAATGCTTCAAAAACAGAGACCAATGTTTTTGCATTAAACTTTGGAAATCCATCAACAGCATTAGTACATACAATAATGGGGTAAATAAAAAGGTTTGGTTTGGAAGAAGAAAAGGAAAAAAATTGTTTGAAATTTATTATATATTTTTTTTAATTCGCAAGCGAGAGTTATTATCCATCGATTTTTTATATTCTTATGTGAAAGATTATTTAAGCTTTTGCATAACATGTCTTAATAATTGCGCCAAATTATTTCCGTTCTTTCATTCTATTGCGATGAAACCAAAAACCAATCAAAGAAAAAGAATTAAATGTATTGCAGAGTATTGGAAGAGTATTGCATAGTTGGAAATAATTTTTCATTCAAATCATTAAAAAGTTGTCAACTATTCAATATTTATTACCCCAATGGACGTCGCCATAATTCATGCACATTTTATGAATTCAACGAAGGAAGTAAAAATAAAAATCTTTGTCTTGAAGTAGAATTTGGATTTGTTTGACATACCAATTATCCAGAATGAAAATCGGCATCTAATTCTTATTTCAAATGTACTCAATTCTTGTATAATAATACTGAGCAATAATAAATAAATATCTTCCGTTGTTATTTACGACATTGCATATTTTGAGTTGACTACTCATGCATTTTTCAATCGCCTCATTTGTACAATGGACTTAATTGGATGCCAAAACTTTGTTTCCATTTTCAATAATTCAAAATCAATATTTAAATAAAACTCGTTCCCCGTGTATACGTTTATGTCCATCGTTTGAACGGTATAGTATCCAATCATTGTTCTAAGTTTTAATAACAGTCCTCGTCATTACATGCCACGCCATCAATTGAAATCAATGTATTTTTTTTTAAATATCAGGTTGATGTGGTGCAATTAAAATACGAAACATATGCACTTGTCACACTCTTTTCACAGTAATTTTATCATGTTTTATTCTACTATGCATTATTATCAGTTCATTTAGTATTAATCCAAGTATATCCTTACGTTTTCGATACAATGTAAAACATCAAGGCCAAGATATGGCCGTTGTAAAATGGCGGCCGAAAAATTCAAACAGCCATTACGATCGAAAAATTTAAACAGCCACTCGATTTAAAATCGATACCCCAGTAAAAAATTGAATTTTTTGGCCGCCACTTTTCAGCGGCAATACCTTGGCCAAATGTCGACCGACCTTGATGTTTTACACTATTAATAACATGTGCTATTCAAGAGCTTCAAAAAAATTGAATCTTGACCGATTTTTTATAACGGCCAAAAATTGGCCATAGGCCGAAATTTTTTTGGTCTTTAATCCTCGATAACTAAAATTTTTATGAACTTAATATTGCAAAGATATCGAAAAAAAAAAGGAATTTTTCAAGTGAGTCCAAACTTTTTGACGGCACTGTATAAAACGGATAGACACTTCGGTACTTTTTTTTAATTAAAAAAACGCATTTTCTTGAAATAATAAAACTTCAAACCCAACCACAACAACAACAAAAATTCTTCGTAGGTTTAAAACACCCAATGGTATAATTTTACTCACGAAAACTTAAAAATCAAATTTAAAGAATATATTGTATAACAGTAATGTGCGAGCTACATTTTACAGGGGGGGGGTGATTTTTCAAAAACCAAAAATTCTCTAGCAAATCTAACAAATTTTCGTTTTTTTTTTTTTTTTTTTTTTTTGGAAGTCACTTTTTGAGGCGAAAATCCCTAGCAAATCGAAAGAATTTTCTCCGCGAAAAACCTTAGCAAATCGGAAAAAAATCTCTCGGAACCAAAAACCCTAGCAAATTTAAAGAATTCTCCTCAATTTTCTACATTGATGAGCTAAAAAAAAAAAAAAAAAGGTCTTCACTTTTTTCATGAAAAACCCTAGCAAATTCGAATAATTTTCGCGAAAAAAATTTTCTCATCCAAATCACAGGGGGGTTAAACCCCCCCTACCCCCCCCCCTTCGCACATTACTGTTGTATAATAATGACATTTTTTATAATAAGTGTATATCAACACGTTATTATATTTTTGCACTTGAAAATGTTTAAGATCATGACGTTACAGATATTTTTGGGGCAAGCGGAGTAAATGATGTTTCCGGGTACTTTTCCATCAGAAGTTGTTTTAACAAAATAATTGCTCTTCGGATGGGTTCGAATTAAAATGACACTCGAAATCCCGTGGTTAATACCGATATTGTTAAAATGCAGACCATGTAGGTGATGTGCAAAGCTGCGTGAACACAACATAAAAGTAAACCTTCTGTTATGCCTGCGCAATGCCTACACAGCTCTTCAAAACGGTTATCGTTTAAATCAACATATTCCCGTACGTTTCCACGTAAATCCGCATTTTAGTCGTTTGGGTACCATAGGTCTGGTGAAAAAAATTCTGCTTGATACGCATTAGAAGCTATTCCCTGCTTAAAATTATTCAGCTTGGAATTAGAATGGTATGGCGGTAAATCCAAAGAGTGGATGTGCCTCGAGAGTTTTGTCTAAGCGAAATTATAGATTTATCATATTATAGTCGCCATCAAGTAAAGTAACGCCGTTGTTTTCAATTATTTGTTTTTTTTAGAAACGAAATTGCGTTTGTTCACGTTTTTGATTGACGATGTTTTTATAAGAGCGAAAGAGGAGCATACTTTAGCAGGAAGTGATTTGTATCAAGAAGAATTCCGGTGAACATCGTTTACTTGGCACATGTTTTCTTAACGATATCACACAAATCATATGTACAATACATAATTGTTATTAAACAAAATTCATGATAATTTGTTTTACTATATTCAACACATTACACAATTCTGTGGAAAACGTGTCGTGGCAGCGCAAAGAAGCATGTATCATTAATGTCCAAGGACTGACCGCATTTCAAAATTCCCATAAACTGTAGTTGAACTTCGTATGAGGTAGCGCAATGTGTCCATAATTCACGTATGCTATATCATTTCATTGCGTTATTATTTATTTACTTTAACTCAATTGTTTTGGCTCTTTCTCTCTTTCGTTTAATTTCACCGTGTGTGTGCGCATATATTTCACGGTATCGGAAACGGAACGATTAAAACGGCGGAACGAGTTAAATTACGCCGAAAAAGTGTGTGTCTCGACAATCATCCTTGATCTTGTCTTTTAAATGTCGATGATCGTTTTAAGAACATATACAATATAATCTTATTTCTTTTTTTTTTCGTTAAAAATGATGAAACAACAAAATATCAACGCAAATGAACGAAACCGAAAAAATACCCGAAAAAAAAGATATGTATTTCGAAACAGTGGTCGGTGAGGTCTTTTGTTTTTCGCTCCAAAACTTATTGCATTCATTAATTTTGGCAATTAAACAATAATTGTTTGCTTTTTGTAACGATCATAAGTATGGTTGGATGTTATAATGACGGAAGTATTGTTGAGTTTCTGTTATACACGGTCAGAACGAGTCATGCTTTCGGGTCAAATTCAAGATACAACGGCGACAACGCCGATGAATACGATGACGACAATCAGTAATCATCAATACGAAGGTTATGCTATTACCAACCAATTCACTGACTTGCGCTAAAAATCATTTGAAAAATTATGATTTTACTTTAAAAAAACAATTGATGTGGGCAAGGTTGTGCGCACAGCTCATCGAATGAAGAGACTTTCTGCGTCATTCAACCCAACGAACGCCGGCTAATCGACACAAAAGTGATAAATTCATCTTGCGTATTAACTGAACTGAATTCGAAAAACCACTGAACTCATACCAAGTACCAAATTGCTAACGAATTGCTTTGTGTTGAGTAAATTGCATAAATCGTTAATCATTTTGATTGACTGCGTGTGTATGTGTGTGATGTAGAGAATTTGAATTTTCTCATTTTTGCGGTCGCAATCTTCAACGACTGATATCATCACTTTGTTTTTCCACACAGTTGTGATTTAAATTCCATTTACATCTACCGATAGATTTGTTCCCAATTGAAACTTTCAATTACATACGTGGTAACCAATTCTTCATTTCATTGATGTTTTCTTTGAATTGACATTTTAAACCACTAAAACCCAACGGCATTCTTATTTTAGTTTCTAATAAACCACATTCAACAGTTCCTCATTCCAAATTTTGTCACTGCAATAAAATACGAAAACCGAAAACAGCACGCGGTAAGGTCTCTTTTTATTTCCAATTGAGCTCGAGCATAGGAGAAAACACAGTTTCGTGTACATCATTCTCGGTGTTGAACAAAATCGACTTTATTGGGACGAACAGCCGATCAGTTTTCTTTTAAATCAATGTAAAAAATGAATCAATTGTTATTTTGAGTCATTTTGAGTCATTTCGTATCGAGATAAATTTTATAATTTTTGGGTTTTTTTAATTGCCGGAAAAAAGTATTCAAGCTAGGTTGCTCGCGGCTAGCGCAAATGTAATGTGCCAAAACGCGAACCAAGATCAAGTAGTGGTGCACGTGTTTTGACCATCATACACACACAGTATCTCTCTCTGTCTCTACGCCGCATTACTCTATGCTCGGCTTTGAGCATCGCATGTGCTATCTACATAATAACGCATATACGCAACGCAAAAGAATCAAGAAAACTCGACAACGAAACACAAGCAAGAATTGTTTGTGTGTCAGTGTGTTTAATGTAAAGTTTACTATCCATATTATGGGGTTTTGTTGTTGTATTCATTCATTCGTCGTCTTTGTCGTCGTCGTTCTTTCCACATTCAATTGACTTCACATGCTTCAATTCGGCGTTGGCTTGTTGTTGCGCTTTTTACTTCTTTCAAACCACTATGATTCGGTGACTATCTATGCAGTATATACAGTGCCGCAAAGGCAACCAGAACCTACAGTCACAACTTAGGCTCGTCGCTAACGCGATCACAAACGATCAAGCCACTTTGATGGTTTTTTTTCTCGGTATTTTCTTCGAACAAGTTTATACATTTTTAAAAGACGAAATAAAGCACGAAATCCTGTTAATGTGTACCTACTACGTATCGAAATCTTTTATTATTGATTATTAACAAGTTTTATTATTTCTTCTGAATAACCGTGTTTTTTTAAAGATCTTCGAATTAATGTTCTCATTCAGTTTGATTTAAAAAGCTCCAGACAATTTCAATTTTCAAACAAACTGACACGGTAAACGTGAAGATATTCAATTGCAGTTAGTGCAGTTATTTGAATGTGCATTCGAGAGACCTAAACAACAATTAATCAGTGAATTTATAAGAAAAAAGAAACATTTTATGAACGAATATTCCTTTTGATAAAAGACATTCAGAAATATAGGAAAACTTTCACGCGCGTCAGAGGAGAATTTAAAAATTAAGAAAATTGAAATTGTTCATCGATTGCATTGAATTGGGTAGGTGATTTTTGTGATGAATTTTTAGTAAGCTAAACCTCATTTCGAGTGTTGCTTGGATAGATTGAGCCGGCTAATTCGGTTGAAATGTTTCTTCTCTATTTTCAATCATAAGCGAATGTGTGTGTGTGTTTATGTGCATGTGCTATGTGCGAATACTCAATTGGATAAAAAAAACGTAGTTGCTTGCAAAATATTTGTTCAGAGATAATATGCTGTGCATATTTAATTGGTTTGGCTTTTGTCACATATGTACAAGTTTGTTTTTAAATGGACAAGTTGAAATCTTTTTATTTTTTTGTCTTTCTTTAAAACACATGTTCAACGACGTGAAAACAAAAGTGGTTCCATTGTTTTTCTTGCCGTCGTTTTTATTTTATTTTTTTGGGTTATAAATTGTGCCACCGAGAGTGGTATGTCAATATTTAAACGAAATGAAAATAAATGTGTCTGATGTTATTTGTTTGCATTGAATATGCGCGCATATGCGCCCTTGTTGCGTTTTATGCAAACGGCTCATTTCATATAGGTCGAATTTTCAATGGCCAATCTATGGATTTTGGAATTTGCTTGTGAAAACTGATGTGTGTTTGTGTGTTTGTATGTGTACGATGTGCACAATGATGCGATGGCCAAAGTCAGAATTGCCAATTTGAAGACATTGCGCATATCAACGAGATGATTTCTTTTGGCCACATCGTTGATCGATGTCATGCCATCGTTCGTGTGCGCGCGCTTATTTACTTCACACACAATGGACTAAGCTTAACACAACGGACCAGATAAAATGTCTCAATTTATGTAATTTATATTTTTTATGATATATGATGTCTGAGAGCGTGACTCAAGTTTAATCAGCCGCTGTTGATCGTGTATAGTATGCATAACGATCCGAAAAAAAAACCATTACACAGTACAAAAATCTTTCGAATTTTTCACGTTGCAATCAAATGCCGTATAGATTGAAGGCAAGCCACAACAATAATAATAGCAATAAAGAATTTGCACTTTGACGGCGCGAAAAAATGCCCGTTTCAAGTAACGTACACAATTTATGCAAAATATGTGAGCGCGCACCTGTGAGCAAATGCACTTTGTACTTGCATTGAACAACAATGGTGTTGATTGAGGCGCATAGATGAGATAGAGCGTGATAATCTCTGGGACTTCAATAAATATTCAACAAAAGTAATACATGTGCATTTTTATATTCATTGGCCTACATTCGGTTCATCAAAGAAAATTCATTCCCAGCCAATGTATGAATCGACTGATTCAATTGTGCGAAATACAATTTGAACGGAGAAATATACAAAGCTCAGAACGAAAAGTATAAATTTCAGTTTGAATGGAATCAGAAACTTTTTTCTTTTCTCCGAAGTCTTGGAAACGAAAAGATAATGCATATGAAAGAAAAAAAAATATTAAAAATATTTTTTTTTTCATTTACTGGGTGGTTCGCACACGCATCCATAAAAATTAAGTGTCTCTGGAAAATGAAATAAGTGATAGTGGTTGGCTAGTAAATTGGATACGTGAAAATTGTCAGTCACGTCAAATTAAAGTGTCTTTATAATAAGTGTGGAACTGAAATCTATCAGTACTAATCATTTGAATTCTGACCAGTAACATTGGTGTCGGTCATGCAATTACCAATGCATCAGACAATTTTTCATACTGATGATAAATTCATAGCTGCCGACAAAATGTTGTCTCGAATAAGAAGTGATAAAACCAAACTAGCAACGACACATTAATCCAAAAAGTGATGAAGAAAAAGAAACAAACAAGCCTTCTTGTGCCCAATGGTGCAAATGATTGGAGACACGAGATCATTGTGTCAACAGGAAATGTGCCGAATAACTAAATTCGCACATTTGAGCATACAGATGTTTAATGTGTGCTTAGTGAAAGCAAAATGCCATCGATGTTTGTAAATATTTCAATATGTTCCATCACACTCTCTCATCGCCATCGAATGCGATCGTATTTGCGCATATGCAAATAAGTAAATATGTCATGAAAAAAGGCATAAAATATTTAATTTTTTTTTCTTTCCTCTCGCGATATTTACGTGTGCGTACACGCCTTAAACCAATGGAATCTCTATTATTTTGTTTTTGTATAGCAAAAAAAAAAAAATCAGGCTGCGTTGATACGCTTTTTTGGTCGTCACCGACTTATTGCTTATTTTGTGGCTCATCTCATTCAATTTAATGCTTTGTGTAATTCAATATTTACTTTTGGCTTGATTGGTGTGTACACCGGTGTGTCTGTGTGTGTGTGTTGGTGTCTGATTTCTGATCATTTGCAATTGATCAATGTGATTGATAATGAGCGAGGTGAAAAGCTCAATTTCATTGGTACATTGCTTTGACTTTGAATTGTCATCTCTGTTTCGTTTTATGTCTCCTTCTACCTCGTCCAAACCACAAATTATCGACGGAATTGTTAATTTGATGACTTTGCTCTTAAAAAATATGTACAAATATTCTCACTTGAAAATTATTAATATGTAAACACAAACGAGAAAGAAAAAAAATGTGAATAATCCATTCGAGAACATAGGCGTTTGCGTTGCTAGTTTTTTTTTTTTCTTGATTATCTCTTGGTGCGTTAATTATTTAGATCAATTGCTTAGAAAACATGCTTGCGTCGCACTGAAAACCTTATTCCATTGCTGTCGCTCTCCAAGGTCACGTGTTAAATATTTGTTGTTGTTTGTCTTACACTGGATTCTATGCCACATATTTTTTTAGAATTTGTGTGTATTTTTCCGAAAATCACCAGTTGGCATGGTTGCGTGTTTCCATTTAGCACGCACCGTATTGTTGCTAATGTTTTAATGAAAATTCGACGTAAAAACAATAACAACAGTTATAAAATATTTTAATTTGGGGCGAAAATGATTTTGACATTGTCGACTGTGTTTTTGCTCCATATCAGAGATGATATCTTCGATATGACGTCATCGATTTTTGTTTTCGTTTTAAATGTCATACGATCATGATCATTCTTAATGCCAATAGTTCGGCCAGTGTATTGCACTAAAATGATGGGCTCGTAATGGAAATGTCATTGACTGCATTGTTCGACACTCAAAATCCTTCAGAAATTTTCCTTAGCGCATGCATCTGTTTCATTTCACAAGTTCATTCACCATATGGTAACCATAATGGCAGATAATGGGGGCCTCGACAAAATGACATCGACTTATTGAATGAATTCGGCGATTGTTTCAAAACCTAATTGATTAATTTCACCGCAATTGTTCGAAACGAATGGCGGGTCGATGTGTGTTTTGACAGTGCAACTGATTCGTATTCGGTCATCGACCCAAACTCGATCGATCAAAATATAAATCAAAATTTCGAAACATTTTTGAACTCCATTAACATAGCAGGTTAATGGAAATAAACAAAAATAAAATTTGTTTTTGTTTTGTTTTGAAATGAAATACAGAACTCAAATGGGAAAGTTCTGAGATAACCGAACGCATTGGGAAGAAATGTCAAACATTCTGAATATTGAGTGATTCACATCGTTCGATTTGCATTTTAAATTTGAATACAAATATCGATGTTTTGATAATGATTTTTAATGTACTTTCACCACTTGTGATAATGAATTCGATGACGAAATTATACGCTCAACATCACAACGCACACACGATGATGTCAACAAACATTCATTCACTTCTATGTCTCTTTGCGTCACAACCAACCGATTGATGCACAGTGATAGATTTCGTTGAGCCCATTACACACATTCTTAGCTAACAATGTTCCAACGTTGAAATGGAATTTCGATGAAAAACAAATATCAAGCACGTTCGAATAACTATTTTTTTCGCTTCTAAAGTCAGAAAAAGAAAGACACACACACACACACAGAGAGAGATAGATAGAGAGAGAGAGAGAGAGAGAGAGAGAGAGCTAACGGGAGTGAGATAGAAATGTGTATTGTTTATATATCATATGTTAAGAATAATATATTTCACAATTGCCATTCGGGCCCATTGAATTGAAGATGACAACTATGAACAACATGGAAAATAAAAGAAATTGTGCTAGTGCTTGAAATTCTGTTGACGTCACATGGATTGCGTGCCCGCGCAATATGTGTTATTGTTTCAATTACACTAAGTCATCATCATCATCACCGTTATGTGTGGTGATGTGTCATAATAATGAATTAACACACATCTATATCTCTCTCTCTTGCGGTTTCTTTCTTCGTCATTTTTTATCGCGTGATTTGATTATCATTAAACCAGTTTCATTTTATTTTCATCTGCAATCATTTTCTTAGTTAATTTTTTCGTTTTTACTTCATGCATGTATTATGATATATAGATATTATGAGATTTATTGAAATTTATTTCACTCGTTTTTTTCTGCGCTTTCATATATTTCGACGAGACAAAGCGCTGAGAGAAAATCAATTCGTTTTTTTTTTCCTTCAAGAAAAAAGAGACATAAACAAAAATAATCCACACATTTCAATATGGAAATCAAAAAAACTATGCTAAGTCAAGAAAGAATGGAAAAAACACCACATAATGTCTAAATAAGTGTGTTGATTCTCGCGCCGCGTCGAACAGCAGAACAATCTGAAGAAATAATAATTTGCCAAGCACGCATGAAAATTGTGTGACTGGAGCCGGTAATCATATGAAAAAAGTCATTATCAAATATTATGCAATTTCAACAGCAGCATAATTATTAAGACAACGAAACAAAAAAAAAACGAGTGCCGCATACGCTCTGAAATGTGTTCAATGTGTTCGCACTGTGCTCGTACAAGTGTACGCTTGCAAGAGTACATTTATCGTTTTGCATTATAATTTGTGATTTCTGTAATTTTGTTTTCTTTTTGTGTTTCGTGCGAGCGCTCATATTTTGTAGAATTTTAGTTAAGGTGTTATACGTCGACTTATAACAACTTCATTGAATTCGTTGATTAAATTGCATGAAACATATGCACCCTCTCATGCTCACACAATGTGCGAGAGAGTAAAATTGCATTTAATCAAACTCACATTCTCACAAATGAAAATGTACTTTGTTGACTTTGACAACGATCCACAAATGCCGAAATGGAATAAATTTTTCGCTAGAATTTGTGGGTCGAATACTGAAACACATTTCGCATACATTTGAAATGGAAATAAAGGTCAAAATCCGAACGCATTCATAAAATTTCATTAATTTGGTCATCGAAGTACCTACAAAAAAAACAACAACAACAAAACTGGTAGGTACGATCTCCTTTTGGTAAATTGAGTCGCATAACATGAGACTTTATATGGAAATCAAGTTGCATTTTGAATTGGATTTTGTGCATTCCAGCATCGAAAGAAAAAAAAAGCAATCCCAAATGCGAATGTGCGCGCTCGATTGGTACAAGAAAGAGAGAGAGAAATAGATACAGAGCAGATGAAGAAAAAAAACATCGTTGACCTGAAATTAGATTAGAAGCATGTATACACCAATTTTTGTGTATGTGCAAACGAAAGCGATTTTGTGTGCACGGCGACAGAGATGCAAGTGAAAACAGGTTCGAAAAGAATGAAGCCATATTTTAACGTGTTGTTTGTTGGTGCAACTTGATTTCGATCGTTGGTCGATTAATTTTTCAACATTTTTAACTGTTATTAAATTTATCGATTAAATGCGGTGCTTCTCGCCTATATTCTTTAACGTGCATTTGCATTCGTTCATATTTTGTTTATCTCTTTTTATTTAGTATATATGCTTAATAATCCGCTTAGTTTGCAAACTATAAAATCATGAACTATAAAATCATGAGCGGCAACATCACAAAATATTTCGGCATCACGTTTCTTTCTAGATGGCACCAATATTTGCCAAATGGAATGTGCGGCTAACGACAAATACAAAAATGCAAGAGATTCAATAAACTATCGACTATAACCTTCTCAATTCAAGAGAACAACCTATCATTTCAGAACTATTTGTATATGTGTTTGTGTTTACATTGATGCATTCATCTTACCATTTGCTGATTACCATATTTCAATTAAAATTGACATTTCGATTGAACATCGAGGCTCTACACCATGTACATGCATACACTTTATAAATATCAATGAATAGTTTGTTGCTGCTGTTGTTGCGTTTTTTTTTCTATTCACTTTTTGAACCATATCGGCATGTGCTCTTCTAACTTTGTTCGTGCATCGATCAAGCGCACAATATTGTTGTTTAAGTCAGCAGCAATGTGCGAATGGAATTTAGCGCGAAAGATCAACGAGTCTAAAAAAATCTGGGGGTCTGTCGCCACACAAAAAACACCACCAGTTCAAGATCAAATTCAACAAATTCTTGTTGTCTTTTCTCCGATCTTAGACATTTGATGTACATTCGCTTATTTGAGCAAATACCAATTGATTTAATCATAGAACTTGATCGACTTTGAAAACGATTTATTTTAATGTCAAACACACTCGATTGATTCGATTCGGACTATTGTAAAAAAACACTCGATGCCACACGCAGTACTGCAACTGAAATTAAAAAGAAAATGTCGATATGTTGTGAATGAAAAATTGTTTGAATTTGTTAAAAGTTCACGATAAAGATCAAGCCCCTGTCTTTTATTACGTGACCTGCAACCTTTGAACGGGCTCATTATTTTAGCTTTGCAGGCATTCAAAGTAAAAATAAATAATAACGACACACTCTTTTCCACCTCGTCTCATATTCGGTTGAATGAAGCGTGATTCCATTCAAAGTAAGTTCACGATGGCGAGAATATTTGTTTCGCGCGCATAAATTGCAATAATAGTGTTTCGCCTGATTTATCATCGATCTTCATTAAGTTCAACTCACAGGCACACACAAGCATTTATTAAAGAAGACGCGAACAGCGTCGACGCAATAACCAAAGCTTATTTGTTTGTTGCATGGCCAAATCATGGTGGTACGAATAACAAAATAATTCACGCCGCATTTCAACTCGCAATCGCAATTTGGAAAGTTAAGAAAATATAAAATCGAAATATAAGTAGTTGCATTAGGTATAAGCGAATCGAATTTTGGGGATTTCAATGAAATTGTTCTTATTTCGATCAATACATCTTCTTTTTTTTTCGAACACAAAACTTTCGGACGCTTTTGTTGGCATCGAACACCATTTTCTTCATTTTCAAGAAGAATGATAAAAAAAAATACATATAGTGAATGAGAGACAATCATTATGCATTTTCGCATTTGAAATATGCGATGTGTGCGAAGCGAATGAATTTAAGAATTGTATGATGTGATCATTCATACCTAATGATTATGTTATTCGGAATATTTGTTAGATAGTGTGTACACTTGCATCACATGAAATCGAATCTGTTGATTGAGAATAAGAAACTCATTGCACGTTTAGCATTCGACAATGTGTTGCCTCATCGCGCAATTGAATCGTTTGCAAAAAAAAGAAAAAAAAAACAAAACGAGAGACACGCAGTTTGAGAGAAACTATAGATTTTCGTGCGATTTTCTCTATTTGTATCGTTTACGAGCAAAGCCGATTTTATGGGAGAGACTCAGACGACAAGAAACAATCGAGAAGTCAATGCAGTATGCTTGTTGTGCTCGCGCGCACATGCAAAACCGATGTTAAAGGCGACTGTTATATCAGATACGATTTTCGCGATGGCAAATTTTCATTACGCAATGGCAAACACAAAAAAAAAAATATGTATGGAAGAGATGAAGAAGACACATTTCCATTTCCATTCACATTGCATTCATTCATGCACATACAGAAAAGGTCTGCCATCAAATTTGTTCTATTCGATATGTGTGACAGTCGAATGAACTCGTAGAAGATTCGAACAAAAACCGACGAAATTCAATGAAATTGTGCACACCGTGCCACTTTTGATTGAAATTTCGTCGAGTTGTGACTTCCTTTTTCTTTGTAAACAAAAAAAAGTCTCTGGTCTCGAAATCAAAATGACTAATTGCACAAACGAACAGCATCCAGCGCAAATACGTGAATTATATTTGGTTAACGGTACAAATAATCGCTAGTCTCTCTACTCTTTTACCTTTGTGATCGTATCAATTCGCATGAATCTCAAATGAAACAAACAATATTCGTGCAAATTCACTGTGATTTGTTGATGTTTAACCTGGAATTTATTTCTTAATTTCTGTTTTCTTACTCTCTTCAAACAGCAGCACCACCACCACCACCACCATCACCAATACCACCGCTGAGTAGATCGTGCTCGCGCGGGTGACGCATTCGGATAGTGAGAGGGAATGAGACATATCGTTGATGTGTATCGGATGTAGACATTGAAATTTGGTTTGTGTGGGCACGAATAATACATATAAAAAATAATTTCGGTGAATTTGTGATGCACGTCATTGGAAACATCGGCTATGATTCAGTCATTCGAAATCTGAAAAAAATTGCTTCGAATTGAAATCGGTGATGCAGCGACAAAATCATATGCAGGAAGAAAAGAAGCAAGCAATAAAGACGACATCAATTCGGCAATAAATGAATATAAAACGAAAAAAAACTGTCGAAAAACAAAAACATTCAATGAACAGTAATATTTGCGAGGTGTGTGAGCGTGTGTCGTGTGCGCGGCCACAGTAAATTCGAACGATTAAGAATCTTGGAAAGTGAGACAATACCTTGACGATGATTGCCATTGAAAAATAAACAGAACCAATTAAAGACAATCTACGACAACGGAATAAGAAGAGAAAAGATAAAACACATTAAAGAAACGAAATTCATAGTGGTAAACAGTGGAAACTTTGTTGACGTTTTTTTTTTTTTTTTTAATGCAAAGACGGAAATTTTATATCGTTGAATTCAAAGTGTTTGCATGATCGAAAATCTGCTGAAATAATCGACTTTGCTTCTCTTTCAGTCAAAAAGTTCAGTTGACGAGTGATGGTGTTGAAAATGAAGTTAACGGTTTTCAACGTGTTGGTCGTGTCTTACATACTGATTTGTTCATTGTGCTTTTATCGTGTCAATGGTAATGATGAATACGATCATCCGACATCATTCTTAGATGGTGATTCGATGAGATCGATGTATAGATCGTTTCGTGATTTTGCCATGCGCATTATTGGACAAACGGGACGACGTACCAGAGGCGCATTTCTACAAGATACTGACACCAAATTTCCGTGCAATAAAACCGGCATGCGCAGTTCAACCATACCAACCAGTGTACATCAACTAAGACCAGGTATATCACATATCACAACTTGATTGTTTGCTTTGCATGAGCAATTCAATGCATTTATGACCTTAAATTCCATTTGACACAAATTGTGGGCATGCAACAAATCAAAACACACTCACAAAATTGTTCTTATGCAGTTATTTTGCTTTTAACTTCGATTGCGAACGCATTGATTGAGTGTCTCGTGGGACAAATTACCATTCACTTAACAATCGGTTGTCGCAACGAACAATTTAAATTTATTAGTTAAAAGTTTATACAAATTAACATTCGATTTTGGTATTTGCTGCGGGTTTCGCTCTTTTTCCACACGAAAAACAAAACAAGAATGGAAATTCCACTGTGGGGATTTTCAGTAAACCAAGCTAAAACCAAAAAGAAATTGACAAGCTTGCAAAATTGTTTTGACCAGCAGCGTTTCAAAGTAAAGATAAGAAATTAAAATCTATTCAAAATTACAAATCAATGTTGAAATATGGAATTCCATACCCTAATCATGGTTTTATTGCCAAATGGAAATACCGGTTGCAAATTATGCGTACAATATCAAAGCACTCCTCCGCAAAACAGACTCAATTATAGGTGTTGACGTCAAATATTTTAGAGTATCTAGTGTAGAAAAAATTGAAATTGGGTTTTGATTCCATTCGGATCAAAATTGATTTCGTGGAGTTTTTCGCCCAAAAATCCCAGCAAATCAAAGATATCTCGTCAAAATTACTTAAAGAATTTTGTTCTCAGATTTTTTAGAGAGGGTAATCGGAACCCTCAGAAACTGGGTCAACACTTCCAAACTCAATCGCGTTTTTTTTTTTTTGAAAATAACAATAAACGGCAACAAATGGCAGAGGTGCGGGAACTTTTCTTGTAAGTGCTGCTCTTTCTTGTATTTAAGTGCGGCACACCTGAAAAGCTATATGGAATGAGTGAGTTTACTCAATAACAGCTCTGACAAATAGAGTAACTCACGATGGTTAAAAATGGACAAAGAGTTTTATTCAATTAAAAGTATTGTAGGAATAATGGTAATTTTTTTATAGAGCAATAATAATGATGTATATTGAATTAGGTGACATTGATGTGATCGCTGCTTTGGGTGATTCATTGACAGCTGCATCTGGTGCGTCATCGGTACGTGTGACGGATTTGGTGATTGAAAATCGTGGTCTGTCTTGGTCAATAGGCGGCCAATGGTCGTTTAAAAATTCCTCAACGTTGCCAAATATTTTGAAAGAATACAATCCAAATCTGTTGGGATATTCAAAGCACGATGCATGGACGTATCATTTTGATAGTCAATTGAACTTAGCCGAAATTGGTGCGTCATCAGCTGATATGCCATACATGGCAAAGATGCTTGTACAACGTATCAAGATGGATAAGCGCATTAATTTCAACAAATCATGGAAAATGGTAACAATTACAATTGGTGGCAACGATATTTGCTCGTTTGTCTGCACAATGGACGAACCGCAAAGTTTGCCACGAAAACACAAACAACGGCTGGTAAAAACGTTACGCTATATACGCGACAACTTACCAAGGTTTGTTTCTTTGTTTCGTTTTTTTTTGTTCTCTCTTCGTTGATGTAAAATGAAAATTATTTGAGAATTTGTTTTTTTCTTTCCTTCCCATTTATTATCAACAGAACATATGTGAATATTGTGCCAACACCGTTTGTACGAAGCGTTGTCATGGTTGAAAATAAACCATTCCATTGTCAAATGTTGCATCATGGTGAGTGCAGTTGTTGGATCGGCCATTTATACAATCAAAATAAAGAGAAACAAGAGCTGTATCATCGCATTCAGAGCGAAATGCATGACGTGGAATCCAATGTAGCCCAGATGAAAGAGTTTCGTAATCTTAAGGAATTTGCTGTGGTCTTTCAACCATTCACCGTTGGTTTGAGTGTACGTCTAAATCAAAATCAAATTTTGTTGTCTTTTCGCCAAAAAGATGTTTCATTTAATTTTAACATTTCTTTCCTTCGACACTTTTAGTTTGAAACGGATGACAAACCATTCGATAGCTCATTGTTGGCATTCGATTGCTTTCACATGAGCCAAAAGGGTCACGGGTAAGTATTGATAAGTTAGTTGACTAAAAAACAAAGTGGAAAATTATTTTCATTTTATGTTTGATTTGACAGATGGGCTGGAGTTGCACTTTGGAATAATCTGCTGGAAAGACCAGGGAATAAATCAAGAAATTGGATATCGCCAAAAAAACGATTTATATGCCCAACGGAAAAGTATCCGTATTTCTATACAAATGACAATTATTCAGAGGAGCAAACGTTCAAAAATTCAGTTGTTGGCAATAGCAAAAGCTGATACAGCATCCAATAAGCACCAACAGAGTGATATCTCGAGGTGTAAAATCCTTGTATATAATATATATATATAGGCACCATTACGCTTTGGCTGGTTCATTTCAATACTGAATTTAACTACTGGCATTTTTTTTTTTAATTCTACTATTTTAATTGTATAAAAAATAAGATTTGGTCATGTCTATCGTATTTGTGTGTTTGAGTGTGATTATTTTTGTTTGTTTAATTTTATTGCATTTTATTTTTATTTATTATAACTGATTTAAGTTGCGCAACCATAAGTTGTTGCTGCTGTTGAGAATGTAATGTTTCAAATGGAGACAAATGATGAGATTTTGTTATGGTAGTTTTATTGTGTCATATGCATGTGAATAGATGCATATCTATTCGATGAAAGACATCGTAATGCATAGACAGAGCTGACGAAGGTCATGCATTATTATTCACCAATCTGCGAGATTCAAGCAGATCGCATTTATAAGAGACACTTTTTTTTAAACAAGTATATATTTGCCGTCGAAAAAAACTGGGCGTGTTCTGCGGCGCATTTATTTAAAATTAATTGTAAACTAGATTCAAATATATGTGATTAAACACAGATTGAGATAAATCTGTAGTCTAAGAAAAGTTTATAACAAATCATTTGTTTTTTGGTTTGGGTTATATGTTGGGAAATTTGAACATAGTTGAAGAGTTAAATCGATCAGCCACAAAATTCAATCAATCAACGAGCAAATTTTATGCGATTTTAAATTGAGATTCTTGTTTGGGCATACGTTTTTCTTTTCCCAACCTAGCTATTATTATTTAAAAGTTATCGATCGAATATTTCTGTTTTTCAAAACGCGGGTATTAGTTCATAGAATGTATAAGTTATGGTCTTAATGGAAGTGCCTTATTTTAGCTCATAAATTAAATTTAAATCCACTATTTATTGTTCATGCAATTCAAATAAATTAAATTTTTATCAATAAAATTAAAAGAAAATGTGTGCATGTCATAATTTCAGGTCGATTTTATCATCTTCTGGGTCCAAGAATACACGCTATGCTTTTATTTTGTGCAATTGTGTCACACAAACGTTGAAAACAGGGACATGTTTAAGTCAGTAATGTGCGAAGGGGGGGGGGGTGGGGGGGGGGTTCCCCCCCCCCTGTGATTTGGATGAGAAAAATTTTTTCGCGAAAATTATTCGAATTTGCTAGGGTTTTTCATGAAAAAAGTGAAGACCTTTTTTTTTGTTTAGCTCATCAATGTAGAAAATTGAGGAGAATTCTTTAAATTTGGTTCCGAGAGACTTTTTTCCGATTTGCTAAGGTTTTTCGCGGAGAAAATTCTTTCGATTTGCTAGGGATTTTCGCCTCAAAAAGTGACTTCCAAAAAAAAAAAAACGAAAATTTGTTTGATTTGCTAGAGAATTTTTGGTTTTTAAAAAATCACCCCCCCTGTAAAATGTAGCTCGCACATTACTGGTTTAAGTTTAGATGAAAGACGAAATTTTGGTGATATTTGAAAGTAGTTCATTTTCTAACACAATTCTGTGGAAATGCGTCAACGATCGTCTAAGTGGTTTGAAATAATATTCCTAATAAATGATGCAAATATATGCCAATTGTTACAAAATTTTGTTTCTCTTTGATATGCAGCCATTATGAATCGTGTTTCGATATGCCAGCAAATATACACTTTACTTACGCTACGAAAACGGACCTTACAAACTGCCCTTAAATATTATTCAAAAAAAAAACTAAACGCACGTACGACACGTGTCTTTTTTTCAAAATTTGTCGGGATATCTAAAACTTTTCTTACCTTGTTCAAATTAAAACACATGCAAATGTTTGTTAAACAAACGATATAGTAACAGATGTTGTTTTTTTGTATGTAATAACTCGGTTCTTTTTAAATAAATTGTTTTTATTAGTCAGTCTATACTGTGTATGATCGAATGTAAATTTTTTTGACATTTTCAAACGTGTTTTACGATTAAAGTTATGCAAATAGCTTCTAGTGTTCTAGTCTTCATTTGAAATACATGGATGCAATACAATTGATATAGTCAAAACCGATCCCGCCATTTGAATATCATTATGGAAATTCGTATAACGATATGGTTGCCCATATTAAAGCGTATTTACTTCATATATTTTAAATGTTAACTAAAACGGTTTCTACTTGTTTTTCTAGTACTTGTGTTGTAAATCGCCTCATTGAAATGTTCGATTATATTACATGATCTTTATTTTTTGCAGCCGCATTTCTTTGCAGTAGCAGGTAGAACTTCATTGGTGCGTTCGTAATAGTTGATACTTTCATTAACACATTTTAGGCAAATTGGTTGTTTTTCATATGGTGTAACGACAACGTTAAATGCTTTCAACTTTTCGACATTTGTACCCTCCTTGCATTTTTTGGGGCTGAAGTGTGCCTCACCTTCGTGTAGAACTTCATGGTTATCACGAGAATCTTCTCCATATCTGAAAAATCCAGCATTTCCATATTCCTTCAATTTGTCAACTCCTCTATCCGATGCCTCATCCGAAAGTTTCACAATAATTTCAACATTTTGAGTGGAATCGCTTGCCAATTCAGCTAATCAACGAAACAAATAGTAAATATTAGTTTAGAACAGGCGTGTGCTTAATAAAAACACTGATAGAAAGAAATGCTTGAATGGAGTTGACATTGGGGAGACTAGGAGAAATTTATTCAAACGATTTTCATACAAATATTGAGGATTTTCTTTGCAAACAACGAATGCTTAGATACCTGCTGATATTTGCCCAATTCAATTATAATAACAACACCCTTTGTTATAATAAAATTCTGATGTTCACAAAGCCATAAATCGTAGATTTTGAATGAGGTAAATGAGATTACCTGACAATAGCATATGATCTTTCAAAGCATAAACACACTTATGAATTTTGTACATTTGATCAGCGTAAAGGCAGCCTCCATCATATTTATTATATTTATCGGTTCCTGTAATCAGGTTTGCGGTTGCACCTGCACCCTTTTTCAAACCGCCGAGCTGTGAATATAGAAATTAAAGACAAAAATAATATATTGTACGTTCTGAGCAAAAAGTTAAGATATTTCTACGTAATATTTGACCAAAGACTATTCATTGTAATACCAATTATATGCCAATAAAATAAAAATAAAATAAATGGAATATAATTTCAATATCGGTTTCAAATTTTCTATACCACTCGGTCCTATCGAGATAAAAGCACATTCGTTCGGCCGATTCATTTAAATAACTATTAAAAATAATAAATATAAAATCGTAGAAAATGTTTTTAACGAGTAATGACAACCGCATACGATGATAAATTCACAATCATACATCACGTTTATCGTTAGAGGTTTCATTTTTATAAGATTGGATTTTATTCTCAACTCACCCCTTTTTTAATAATGCCCTTAACAGCAAAGCTCGAGTCTAACGATACGATCAAAACGATCGCAAAACAAAAAAATGCACGAGAAATCATTTTTGATTATTTTTCACAGTTGATATCAAGCTGTTGACTGAATTAAACTGAAGCAAATAATCCATTTTATAGGCGAAAATTAAAGAAAAATAACACGAATTTGAATTCCGTGAATTCTTCTTCGTTTCGATTATGAAACAGGTCCATAATAATTATTTTTTTTTTGCATAATTAAAAATAACGGTGGAAAGTGTTAACTCACGCAGACAAATAAATAACAAATTTTGATCAAAGAATAAATAAATTATGATTATTACGTTTGAATTTTATTCACATATTAGCCGCATTTGATCCTACAACAACTTTTGTATTTTTTTTTTATCAGAGAACAAAACACCAATAAATTAGTTGGTAGATCGATGATCGACGCAAATAAAATTGCTCACATATTCTTTTGATCTTGAAGACATATTTTGCAAATGTTTTCAAATAAAATAGAAAATATAGTCAAGAAAAACAACTTACTACGTCAATAAAAATAATTTCTACAATTCCGAATTAAAGGTGAAAAATGAATATAATATGAAAACATGTTTGAATACATTCAAGTGAATACGGAAAAAATGAAAAATAAAATACTAATTTATGAAATGATTGGCGATTCGGTGGCGATTGATCACATAAAAAATAAAAAGTTACATTGCTATGAAAACTCGAACATATGGTATTTTTTATTCATCATCTTTGGCAAAGTAATCAAAATACTTGAATTTGCGGGAAATGTAATGTGGAAATCGAGTTTCGATTTGTCAAAGTAATTCAGATGATGCAAGATCTATTCGATATGAGTAAACCACCAAAATATCTTAACTCTCTTAATCGTCATGGTTCCGATAAAAAAAGAAATTTCCCGATTTTTAGATGAGCTTAAATATTTTAGAACTAAAGGAATAATGAAAAAACGTCAAAATTTTTTTCATTCAAATTAATTTTTCATTTATTTTCCATTCATTTAATGTTTATAATTACATCTAAATGCATGGTTTTGTATTTTGTTCACCGTGTGTGGGTCATTGGAATTTTGGTATTTTGTTTGTTTGTTTTTTTTTTGGCCATTTGTATCTATTCTAGAAGTGTGCTTTATTCTTTCGTCTGAAAACATAGAAATTGTTTACATTTGGATAACACATTAAAATTCTTATTGTCGATCATGTTTTGTTTTTTAAATGACACAACACGGATCGAATATTTTGTAATGGAGCACACGAATGTTTGAATATTCTTTCCATCTTGATAAAAGGAGTAAGGGGATCATTGAAAATAGTTATATCTGTCTGTTAAATCTGTCTATATCTAAAAAATATCTAAATGCAGAACATGAACGTTTCGGCAAACGTTAGTTTTCATCTAAATTGGAGCCACAGATTCAGACATCTGTATGATTTGTACAATTTTATTTAAATTTTCTCTTATTGAACTACAATCAAAAAAACGCACACAATCGATAATGGTTAATTGTGTGATTTATTTGAATGCATTTATTCTTTCTTTCTTTTTTGCTGCGATTAAATTCGAAAATTGATCGCACTTCCAAAATGCGTTGTTGTTGTTCATTTGTTGTGAGGTATTCTGGAGTCATTGATGCAATATGGAATTTTACGTTCGCAAAATTGAACGAAACGGAAACAAAAAGAAAAAAACAAAAACTAAGCGAGAAAAAGATTGAGTAAAACGATACTAATTTAAAATGTAAATTTCCATTTCATCCACATATCTACCATAGATTTCTTTTTTAAATACAATATTCAATGCTTAAACTCAAATAAAATTAACACAAAATGTCATGTATATGTTATTGCACAATGAATGAAAATATGTGTTGCACATTTTTTCGAGAAAGAAAATTATAAAATGAAACTTAATGAAAAAATAAATAATGTTTTTGTTGCATGTTCACTTTAAGATTGTTCCGTGTTGCAGGAGTCAGCATCAAGTGGCTGGCGATGAAGCGGTGAAGTATTATTCATTTCGTCTACCTCAATCGAAGCGGTGGAAGCACGACCCCGTTTACGTCTTGGCAATATTCCCTTACGCGCCATGAAAAATCTAATTCAAATCGAAAAATGAAATTGTTGATTTAATAAAAGTTCCAAAGAACACCACGTTTTCTGATAAAAAATTTTTTTAAAATATGTGCAAAATCGATCGAAAAATGTGATAGAAATAAAAATCGACGATCCATTTCGGCATACCTGATTGTACTTATTGGAATCTGGAATTGGTCGCTCACGGTCTGAAATGTTTGACCCTTTGAAACATTATCAGCGGCTTGTCTTAAAAGTGATTCACTTCTTCTGATTCTTCTTCCCGGTTCGGTCATGCCACTATAATAATTACTGTCAACGGCATACCGTTTTGCTGGCGGACTCATTGATCTTCCATAATCCGTATGATTATCATCCAAACCTATCGATCCACCAGCCGATGAAGTTGGTCTCGTTGGCGATTCATTTGCATATTCACACACAACATTTGCCATTGCGTATTCTGGTGAGAAATGACAGAGAAAGAAATGAAAAGAAAAAAAAGCCATTAAACGGCTAGTCAATTACACAGCTTTTCTAAAATACATTCTGACACCATCTACTCAACACAACACTCTATACAATTTCGATCTTTCAAAATTGATTTTGATTTATTTCATTAATCATGATTCTTAATGATATAGTTCATAATTCGAGGAAAAACAAAGACAATTTTCTTTAATCTTAAGTTAAATATTTTCATATGGCCCATAGAGGTACAATAATAAGCAATTTATTGATAAATATCACTCTTATTCATGATTCACACCGAACACAATACAAAAAAATTCACAATTATTCAACTACATATATCGGCGCTACTTAAAAATCATTTCGATAGATTGGGATACGTCATTTTCAATCATAATCTATACAAGATCATTGAATCAAAAAAAGAAAAAAAGTGACAATTGTTGTTTAAGCTGGTCTTTCAGCACATATGCTTATGATAATTCATGTGGATTTGTTGTTGTTGTCGATGTAGTTGGTGTTTCGCTTTGTTGAATAATATTTCGCTTTTTTTCGGCGGCTTTTTTCAATTGATACGGCATCGGATACACGGATTTAATGTGCCATCGTTTCATCCAATTTCGCAGTGTTTTCCGTGGCACACCATGAATTTGTGATGCACTGTGTCCAATCGTATGTGCCAAATAGACATGTAAATACAAATCACGAAGAAAATGAAATTGAATTGTACAAAAGTAAGTGAATTTTCTCAATTTTTTTTTAAATCGTTAAATGTTACTCACCGATAAATTGATTCACCATTTTTGACGTCCATTAGAGCTGTATAAAGTGCATCTGTGGTGTAAGAGCGTGGCTGATTACCACGTGGATTTCGCAAAATAACGGCATTTCGCATTGGATCGCCGCGGCATTGTAACAATTCCATGAGACGATCACTTCGTTTCGCTCTTGGTCTCAATAATACATCATCATCGTCATCTTCGCCACCGTCACCGCCATCATCATCAATCGAATCGTATTTTCTTCGATATCGATTGGCATCGGTTCGCCGTGCCTTGAAATATGATTGCTCGAAGTGTCCATTACTACTGCTCTGTATTTGATTTGTGGTATCAAAATCAATTGAACCATCCACATTGAAATTTGGCGAACAAACGATATTCTCACTATTTTCAGTGTATTCATTTTGATGACGGGTTTTGTTAATGCTTGATTTTGGTCGATCATCCATTTTGCCACTGGTTCTTTTTACAAAAATGCTCATCGTATTCCGATTGAATTTCAATGAGGTGGGCAATTGTGATTGAGTTAAATCACAATCAAAACCTTCGATTTGAGCGTGAGCACTTGGTTCGTTTAATTCATCATCATTGTCACCACCACCACCACCCTGTAAACTCCAGCCGGGGCTATAGCACATATTTACCTCATCAATTGAATCAGTTTTTGTGATTGAAATCGAATCCATATCGTTGGTGAATATATCATGAATTTGTGCACTTGAATTGGATCCACCTGCATCGATATTATTGTGTGATGATGTATCATCGACTGTTGTTTCTTTTGAATCATCACAAATAACATGCAATTCATTGTCATCGACGACAATGGCATCTTGTTGCATCGCATATTCTGAAAAAGAGAAACAGTTTTTGTGCTATATTTCTGTTCTCTTTTCATTTTTTTTTTTTTTTTTTTTTGTTCATTCCAATACACACACATACACACACACCAACATTGGCTGTGCGCATATGTTATAAGTTTTTGTTTCGTTCTTTTTTCTTAATTTATTTGGCTGGTTTTATGTTTGTAGTGACTTTTTTTTTAAATTTGTTTGTGTTGTTTGCGTGCTGCTTCTCTCCAAGAAACAAACTTTTGCGCCACTTGGTTCAATTTCATTTCATAAATTTTTTTTGCAAGAAATGTTAAGTGCTCAATGTCTGAATTTTGGGTGGTTTTTATCGAAAATAATCTGTTTCAAATAATCAAATTGAACTCACTTGTTATCAAGACCGTTTAAATGTGTGTTCATCGTTTCTATTCTCTAATTTATCTTATGGAAGAGCTTAATATCTTAAGAGCTCACTAAATTTTAGATAAAGCTTTATCCGCCAAGGCGGCGCCTACTACAATTCTACTTCTCTTTCATGCATTCAATCATTCATTCATTTTTTTAAATGCAAAATGCTGTTTTAAAACTGTTATGGGCACCGCAGAGATGCTGGCACTGACTAGTGCCCCTGATACTTTTGTTAACTTTATGGAGTAACTACGGCCACTGGCTAGTGTTTCCGAACTATTTCGGTGCCAATAACAGTTCTGAACAGTTCAAAAAAAAGCCCGACATTACTCACCCGATTGTTTTGAATTTGAATGTTCGTCGATATCATCATCAATGCCATCATCAATTGCATTCGCATCCGAATCTATGTACAACAAATGACATCCCAAAAAGAAGTCAGAATTCATTTCAAATTGTTCGTTTTCAGAAAAATCATACTCACCAACTTCTTCGCATTTAATATTCATTTCACTGGAACCAGTGTTGCTGGCCTCATTATCGCTTAAACGTTTCAGACTGCTGCTCTTGGCTACCGCTATCGGTGCAGCGTTACAATGTTCTTTGGTTATTTTATCGGTTTGTGTATTTTTTGGTGTTTTTCCTTTGACTAGAATTTCATTTGAGCGATGATTTATTGATTTGGCATTGTCGATGGTGGGAAATGTTGAACAACGTTGTAAATCGGAATGTTGTTGTTGCTGTTGTGGTTGCTGCTGCTGCCGAAATTGTTGTTCATCGTCTGCATTTGAATAATTTGCATTCAATAGATTCGATGCAAACATTGAGGTGAAATTAAAATTTGAACTACAGTTGTTACTGTTTGACAGAATATTTGGATCGCGGTCAATTTTCCCATTGGCCACTTCATTGAGCGATGATTCGGTGCCACATAGACCGCGTATTTGAAGCGTTTCGGCACATTTCAATAATTGTGGCAAACCGGCCTGTGATACATTCACTTGCCCTTTGTACATGAAATCGACCAACGCATGGATCTCCCAAAGTTTTATTTCTGAAGAGTTTTTTTTTTTAAAGAGAAAGCATAATTCTTTACATGAATTCTACATAATAATTAGTAGTAACAAATAATTTGGTTAAGTTATCAAGTACAATTCCCATTTAATTGGAATTAATTCTTGTTGTATCGATGAACAGACGAGGTGAATTAAAAAAAAAGTCTTAAGCGATAAAGTAATCTGTCTATTTTTTTTTTTCGAAGCAAAAGATACCGATCCTTACCTTTTGGCAATATGATGATGGGATGTTTGCATGGATTTTCACTGAGCAAACTTTCAAAATAGCTAGAACATGCGGCCAATACTAAACGATGACAATGAACCTGATGGCCATCACATGCCAATGTTACATCCACGAATTGTTGACCAGCCAATAGCTAAATGAAACAACATTCGACAAAAATTTAAAAAAAATTTAAAAAAAGAGCACCAAAAACAAGAAAGTAATCAAAATGATGAAATCGAATAATTTTTCGTGATTTATGAATGCAAAACAAGGACGAATCAAAAAAGAGTGAATTTTGTAAAAAAAAAATTATCGAAATATATTCAAGAAACTAACCTGTGGAAATGCAGCCCCCAAACTACCCAAATGAGAGTTCCAGCGAACACAAAACTGTTGCGATATTCCGGTCATTATTTTTGCACATAAAATGTCCTTTTCGTCACACTTGCGTATTTATATTTCTATCTGACTTTATTGCAATGTCCAATCACAAAATATCACATCTATATTATAACTGTGTATTTGTGATCTGTTTAATTAATGATTCGTTGTCAAATTTCCACTCGTCTCTTTTTCCTTCTTGTTTTTTTTTTATTTCAATTTCTTCACTTTTTCTGTGCGATGTTTATGAATCGAGATTGCATAAATTTAGGCGCTTTCTATTGGAGAATAATAAAAATATTTATTTTAGATAAAAGTAGCTATTGACTAGTGGCACACATACACCAAACGAGCAAATAAGTACAATTGAAACGAAAAAACGTTCATTTGCTCAATATTGAGATTTTAATTAAAACGATGTCGAGTTGATAAAAATTGATTCCAATTGGTATTGTTATCAAAACAGCAATTGTTCTTATAAGAATGTATATCATTGCAAATATCTTTTTAATTTGGATTTATTTCTCGTCATTTCACAATTATAACAACACAAATATCGATAATAGTCTTTCAATTTTCAATGGCAAACATAGATCAATGCAAAGTTATATTGTGATACAGATATGCACTGAATCTGAATAAAACTTTTTTTTGTCCTTTTGGCATAGATACACTTTCTTTACAAATCAAATGATAATTGATGCATACAAATTATGTTGCGTATTCTTCACAACATGTTATTTAACATAAGATACAAAAAATAGTGTGCAATTTTATCGTCTTCGCATTACATCTGGAACAATCAATTCCTTTAATATTTCTTTTCCCTCTTTCTCTTCCTATGTAATTTGATCCTGACAACACAATGAGAAACTCACACAAAAAAAAACAGAACCCAAATGACACATTCAATACTTACATTTTAGCTGCGAAGATACACACACAAAAGAAACAATGCACGAAAGAAAAACACTGCTTTTTGGCACCTTATTTAAGTGACGATAACAGAATAACAAATCAAATTCGAAATCGAATTTAAATAAAATTGGACAATCTATGCGAATGAATATTAACGCCGCGACGCCATTTTCAAATGTTTATATATATATATATATTTGGTGTTTGTGCAATATTGCTCGATTCTCGCAGAAACAGACACACAGACGCACACACAACAAACAAAGAGAAGAAGAGCGATTAAGTAATGAAACAAGCAACATTGAAAAAAGGAACTTCTATTTGTACAACATGTATACGATGTAGGGAGTTTGAAACCGCAATAGGAGAAGCAACGACGACGGACAACGTCGGTAACGGCGTCTACGGAAGATTAAGCAATAGAGTAAGAGAGTGTGTGTGTGTGTGCTAACAAATGGAAAAAACAGTAAAACAACAAAATCAGAGCGCCTTCAGTTCTGATTAGAATATTTTGAATGCAAGAGATGCGAAAGTGAATATACTTGAGTGTTTTAGGTTTTTTTGTATGTGAGTCCTTCATGCAATAGATACGGACGCCGCGACGTCATTTCATGCATATACACATACACATAAGTGATGTGTACAGCGCACCAAAAAACATCACTCTCTCATATACATATAGTTGAATGCGCAATTTGACGTTTTGCATGTATGTTTTTGTTCTATTATTATTATTGTGGAGTATGAACGTAGATGTCAATTTCCTTACATTAAGTGCGCGCGTCAATTTCCTTACATAAAAGTGTATGTGGCCGTTGTTGAATATAAATAAAATCCAATTCGCAAGCAAACATTTCGATTCAATTTAATTTAAAAAATGATTTAAGATATTTTTCAGTCGCCAGTTTTTAACAAAAGCTTATTCTCATCGCTTTTCACGAATTTTACCAAGAAATTCGATGTATACTAACAATGCTTGTTCCTTTCAAGCGGTTGTAAATGCATTCAAAATTTAAATAATCGACTCATCCTAAGTGCCGATTCATTCTCTTGAAAATTTAATAATTGATGAAAGAAGTTGGATCACATATCACAATAAAAGAAGAGTTCGATGCGATTTATATAAAGTGTTTGCATTAACTGAACAACTGAACATTTACATACAAATGGGACAGAAATGATCTGAATGAAAACGGCCGTTTTACTTCCATTGTGATTGCATTTAAAATAGCACTTTTAAAGGATTTGCACTGTTTACATCTTCCGAATTTCAATTATTGGGTTTTTTTTTTTCAAAAATCTAAGTAAAGCTAATTTTTTATGCGCTGATTGGAGTCAAATTTCAGTGATTTTCACCGTTTTTTATGCCTCTCACTCTTATTTTCTTTGCATTTCGACAATTATGAAAAAAAAACCTCGCCGTTATAAACCGTTTGTAATGGAACATTTAAACGATTCCTGTTTGCATTGAAAATGGGTTTAAATATGTTCAACCCTGCCTGGAAGTGTGTATGATTGCGGTGAGTAAGTGTCAAACGATGGAATTTTACGCAGCTGACGTTTTTAAATGCGTCGGTTAACAAATAACAATATCATCCAATATGATTCATATAAATGGTATCTCTCATGCACTCACACATACAAATAAAATACACACGAACATAGTACGATGCCATTTGCATCCACGCAGACAGAGACACATAAACACACACACACACATACACCCATACATACACGCACGCTCACATTAGAATCTATTACAGAAACAGATCCATAACATAAACCAAATGAAATCTCATATTCAATATAGATACGTCTTCGGGAGGCTCGTGTAGACACATTTGCATTCGCGATTGAAACAATAAACACGATCGTTGGTGTGTCTTTGTTTGTTTGTTTGTTTTTTTTTCGTTGCTTCTTTCGTTGGTTGTGTAGAAGGCATTATGCGCGAGCATTTCCAAATTGTGTTTTTTTGTGGTTTTTCGTTGCTTATTCGTTGCTAACACATGCCGAAAATAGATTTTAATTTCCCAACTGCTGCTACAAAGAACTAAATTGAGACTGAGTGTGGAATCGAATGGTATGATTGAATTTTTATTGAATAAAAAGAATACAATTGATTTCATTTAAAATATTGCTGTGTTTTTCTCTTAATTCAATTTATAGTTATAACCCGGAAATACTTAAAACGTGAACAACATCAAAAACAATTCCATCAAATTGATAAATTTCGGTTTGTGCAATTGAAAAGTTTGAGAACGAAATTAAATTGAATCAAAAAAATGGCAGCATCAGCTCAAATGCAGCAAAAAGCCAAAGACTATTTTGCTTCATTGAATCCATTGGCTGAGAAGATAAACAACGAAATTAACGATATTGTCGATGCATATGCAAATTTATGGGAAACATTCAGCAACGACGAACAAAATGAAATGATCGATGTAACATTAATCAAACCAAATTTAATTCTAAAATATGTGGATGAAATGAAGAATGAGCGCAATTTAAAAAAACGTCGTTCATCAGCATTGCTGAGCAAAGACGATGCCACAATAATCACTGATACAGACAGCAACAATGATCGCCTGTCATTGTCGTCGTCGTCCAATTCAAATTCATATCGTTCGAATGATTTTAGTCATATTTATTTATACAATGGAAAAGATTTGTGCACATACAGTCAAATAATAACAGCGCTACGCTACAATCAAGATGATTTATGTGGAATTTATCGTGACGAACATTCCGAACCATTCAATTCAAAAACAAAAAGTCAAATGAATTTGAATTTTGGCAATGCAGCCGATGCAAATGCAAAATTGGTGGAACGTGCACAGAAAAAATTTCCAGAAATTAAATTGCCATTTGTCAATGGGCTCGATACGATTGATGGTGTTATGAAAAAAGGTGGCGTTGATCATGTGCCTGAATTATGCGCAAAATTAGCTAGTCTTAACAAATCGAATACACTTGAACACGGAAAGGATGGAAGCGTTGTGTAAGTTTCAAATCAAATTTAATGATTCCCACATTTTTGAGAGAATTTTTTTCTAATAGCGTTTTTTTATCGTTTACAGACGAAAAAGTTTCATGACTCGATTATTTAGTGGCAAAGGCCAGACCATGCCAGCAACCGTGAATGTTCCTAGTCTAAAATCAACTGCACCAGCACCACTTGATGCGTCCGGCATCGATTTGGGTATCATTGATTCGGCCAAAAATTTCGACTCGATGTCGACAAAAAGTGCCAACTCATCAAAACCAGACGAAATAAATGACATGTGTCGTCTCATTGATACTAATGACGATGACGATGATGCCAACATTCTAAACACCTCGGCCGATTATGATTTTCTAAACAATTGGTAAAAAATTGTTCATCGATATCATTATCATACCTTATCATACTATCTCAATAAGTTATTTACCAAAAAAATAGATATGATGAAACACCCATTTTGATGGTTTCGAAATGCGGAAATTCCAAAGACCATTTCTCAAAGTAAATGCAAAATTGTTTTGTGTGTACATTTTTTGTGCAACACAATATATATCGAAAATAAAATGAGCCATTTGTATTTTTGCAAATAAAAGAGTCATTTAAAACCGAAAGTAATATACACGAAATATATACAACTATCAATAACAAAAACCACTTTTATTTTGCATTTCTTTTGAACATTTCTATTTATGATAAATAGGCCTTCACTTTCGAAATTGTGTCGACAATTTGTAAAGCAGACATTTCAAATCCGATCCAACCGTTTGTAAGAAACAATGTATTTAATAGAAATCTCGAAATATTTTTTTAGAAAATAGAAAAAAGAAATAGATTTCAGTCGAAACTGGCGAAGCAAGGAAAAGGATAATTTTATTTTCATATACGGTAAATTGATATTTATTAATTCTTTATTTGGTCGCTCATTCTTAATATAGAAAATCAATATTTCTACTGGTATTAAACGGAGAATCGCTCAAAAAAATATCCATGTCATAAATATGAAAGAAAAGAAGAAGAAGAAACATTGAGTTTTCACATGAAATGTTCAATGTTTACAGTGTTATTGTAACTTTCCAGCGGAGATTTTAATTCGGAGTTGGATTTTCAACTTTTTTATCAAAATTTGGTTAAAATCTATTTCCATGTACTTTTTCCTGTCTTGGGAGGTAAATTGGACATTGAACACTCCAAGCAAATAAGCTTTGATAAGCTTTTCAAATCGATTACAAAAGTATGTATTCGATGTCGAATTAAAATTGTCGAAACGAATGAGGTCAAGAGATACTTACGGACTTAATTTCAATAATTGTCATGGTGTACTTCCAAGCTGTAATAAGTTGATTATTCAAATTAAATAAGAAAAACGACTATTGTTTAGATTTTTTTTTTCATTTTTTCATTTGCTGCAGTATAACAAAAAATTCAATATTTTTTTTATAATATCTTTTTATGTTTTTAATCGATTACACCAAAATATGCACATTTTTATCCATATATCATACATATGTATAGTTGGTTGTGTTTGCATTCATTCGTACAATGTTATGCGATGAGCTGTGTAAAATTCAATGAGCGTTGATGATAATTCTAATCATTTTTGTTTTTGTAATTTTCTATCGTTGCCAATTCATTTCTGCCAAAAAGTTTTTTTCTAAAAAAAAAAACAAACAAACAAACAGCTCAACTGTGTAAAATGATGTGAATTTGGCATTGCAAATATATAGTTTCGGTGTTTGGCTTGTTGACATTTTACCAGCTCAATGCATGTATTTACATATCCGTTTTCTTTTTTTGTCTTGTTTTTTTTCTTTGTGATTTTTTTTTTGTTTGTTTGCTTGGATTTTCGTTTTTCTTTTTCAATATTACATTATCTAATTCAAAAGTATGATTCCATCTATCGGAGTTTACTATGTAAGATGTTGTTTTTTTTTTAATTAGATTATTATTACTATCATGTATATGCAAATTGATTTTACGAGAAAAAAAAAGAAAGAAAAACGAACAAAAGAATGGAAAAAATACAAAGTCTTTTTCCTCCTTCACTTTTTATCAATTTTACATAAATAATAATAATTATATAAATATTTGCGAGTTTCATCAACTTATGTATGTGTATATGTGTGTTTCGTTTTTTTCTTCATTTTTAGTTCATTTTCGTCCATTTTCTTCTTATACTTTTTTCTTTGTTGTTTTGTTTTTTTTTATCCTTCTTTGTGTGTATGTATAAGTTTTCTTCTCTCGCTATTTTATAGTCGGTTTCATTTTCTATGAATTTTTTTTTTTTTCATTTTATTTGGTGGCATTTTCCTTTTTCTCATTTGTATGTTTTGTGGTTGTTTTATAGCAAATATTATTTATATTATACAAATCAAGTCTTCAAAAATTCTTAATGAATTGATTATGAGCCGTTGGCGCGCGCGAATTTCGTTTTTCACACACACAACGAAATCGCTCAAATCATTCTAGTAAAAGTCTATTCAATGTTTTCCATATTTTTTTTTTCGATTTGGTTTGTTTGTTTGTTTGTGTGTGTGTTTGTGATTTTCATTAATTCAGTTTATACTTTTTGTTTCGCTTAAAGTAGATAGTTTGGATTGCGTGCGGGGCGCGTGATTGGTTTGGATTTTGGTCAATTGAAGTAGACTCCCTCCGCGATAAAAGAAAAAACAAAACAATTAAAACTAGAACAAAAAAAAAATTGGTGTCTGTTTTGATCATGGGAAAGTCTACTTATAACAAAAATTTGGCAATTGAATTTAATGACAACGAAAAAAAAGCATCTTATCTATCTGGCATTCAATCAAACCATTTCACGTCGAATGTGTGTGTGTGTGTGTGTGTGATAATTTATTTTCTTCTTCTTTTCTTGGCGGACACAAAAATTATTTCGCCATCATAGCAGGCAACAAATAAACAAAAAAAAAATATTTACACGAAAATCTGTATCTAATCTATTATTTAAATAACAATGGCATAGACACAAAGAAGAAGGCAAAAAAAATAAATAAATACTGAAAACATATATATGGTAATTTGTCTAGTTGCATGTTGAGAAGAAAATGGTTTATTTTTTCATTTTTGTTTTAATAAGTATTTAATTTATGAAGGCATTGAGCTATTTTCACTTTTTTATCGCGAAGAAACCATTAAATCGTAACACATTCACAGTCCAAAGACAAATCAAATTTGTCCTTTTCTATTGGCTACACTTGTAATTTTTTAAATTAAATATTTAATTTAATTTTCGGCAATTTTCGTACGTGAAAATGGATGTGTTTTTAGCACCCAGTATGGGTGTGCTGTGTGACGGGCGGGAAGAGGCGGTGTTTGTGTGTGTGAAAAAATCGTTTTGTTTTCTTTTACTATCTACAAAATATTGTTTGTTTTACGGCGTGTATGTGTGTTTGTTTGGCTTCAGCAATTGAATGGCTTTCTGAGAGTTTATCTCAATTTAAAAAAAAAAAATAGAGAACAAAAACAATTACAAAATTAGACTGAATTAGTGAAATTAGGAACGAATGATTGAATAAAAAAAGTGATCATTAACATAAACCAAACAAACAAGAAAAAAATGAAAAAAAAAAAAACTACCACCATTTCACATCTGCTTCTGTTTTCGAGAATGCATATTAAAATGAGTAAAAAAAGGCAATCTAAATCTGAAATTTCTGTATGTATTGACTTGAAAATTATAACAATGCATTTATCGACCAATTTTTCTTTTTCAATTTTTCCTTTTCTTCTCTGTTTTCATCTTTCTTTTATTTTTGCACACTTTTTTTTATTGCACCACCAGCTTTGGAAGCATTGAATGTGTCGCATGAAATGATACAGTATTCGAGCTACAATCGAATGCAACACAAATTCAAATCCAGCAAACACAAACAATAACACAACCAAGCAAATTTGGTGTACACTCCAAAACAAACAAACGAACGAGAAAAAAAAACAACCCATTTGGCTATATTAATTATGTATCGCACAAAAATTCTTTCCGCTGATATCCGCATTCTGGCACAATTGAATTACTAAAGAAAAACAGACGACAAACATAAAACGAATTCTCTCTCTCTCTGTCTCACTCAACTCTTTTTTTTTCACGATCGAATGTGCTTTTATATTCATCAATTTTTCTCTCATTCATTTCGCTATATTTATGTACAAATGTTCAAAAAAGAGAGAAAAAAAAATTATATTTATAAAAACAAAACAAAAAAAGATATAAATCCAGATTTTCCAGTATTTGCTTTCCATCGTCACATAACGATCACTCAATTAATCTATAAATAATTTTCATTTTTCGATCCTCTTGTTTTTTTTTAATAGCTATTCTCTGTTCTTCACAACCGCGATGTGTTTTGCATTCGATTTTATGTTTTTTTTTTTAATTTTGTATGTGTGTGTTTGTGTGGGTGTTACACAAGTGTGTCATTTGGACAGTAAATAGGATGGAGTTTGACCGATAAAACACAAGCCGGTATTTCACGTGGCCTGCGATTGAGCGTGGTATTATTTCCAAAACAAAAAGACTTTCGGTTATTTATTGGCTATGTCTGAGAGAGTGTCTCTCTCACATTCAGTCGATCGACTTAGCACTTTATATTGCACACACACTCATCCTCGGCAAATAGAATCGGAGATTTTCGATGTTATATGAAATCGTTACGACGTTTATTTCCATCCATTCATCTAAAATAAGTTCTTATCTTCGTTACATTGGTATACATTTTGTTTTTAACGTGAAATCCATTTGAATTGAAGTGAAAAAATAGAAGACTTTTCCGATGAAAAATTCAAACAATAAAATACAGTCGAAAATAGTTTTGGCAATCTAGAATATTTTTCAAAAACGGCATTTAATCGATTTCACGCCATCGCACTTGTGTCATCCGAATTGTGAAATGATCGACTCCATGTGTTACCGACAATGTATTTTATTAAATTCTATTTACACATTGTGCACGCACACACTTGTGTATTGCAACACACTACGCACACGTTCTATTTTTAAAAGAAAAAAAAATAAACGGAATCAATGTCAAATGGACTATTTTCGGTTGTTTTTGCGCTCAACGAAACCGCATCTTTTCTTCCTTTGTTTGTTTGTTTTTTTTCGACATTTTTTTTTGTTTACTTCTTTTGCTATACATTTAGAAACATAATAGAACAATTAACTTGTTTTAATTATTATTATTATTATTTTTTTTGCATAATTTTCATTTTCATATTGTTGTTGTCGATTTTTTTTCTCTCACTTTAATTTTTCGCATTCGTTTAATTCTTAATTAAATTAGCTAAAATAAGGATGCATGTATTTTAAATTTTTTTGTTTTTTGTAATGTTCAACTTTTTTTTGTGTGTCATCGTTTTTTTTCATCATTTGCTCATAAAATAGTATAGTTATTAAACTAAATAATAATAATAATATAGTAGTAAAAATAGTTTAAAGTTTCCCTTGTTGATTGTTGTATTTAAAAAAAAAAAATAATTATTATTATAATTAGAAACAAAAGGAGACAGAAAAATCAGATGATTTTTGGCAATGCAAACAAAAATGTGTTGCGAATATGCGCGCACTTTCATGCGAACGAAACGGTAAAATAATTTAAGTGTGTGTATGTGTTCAATGAATCTTAAAGAGTCGATTCTTCAAGTATTATCACTTTCGCATGCACACACACACAGTTCTCTTTTGGGAATTCAAAGCATAATTCGGATTGATTCACAAATTTAAAAAAAAAATGATAATAATAACAAATTGAAGAGCTCAAATTTGAGAGTCAAACGGCCAATCAGAAATGGATTGTGTCAGTGTGTAATATATATGTCTCTTAAATTCGGCGACTTTTTTTCTCTATCACACACGATTCATTTAATTGTTTGTTTGTTTTTTTTTTCTTTTTGAGCGAAATTTAAAACGATTATTGTTTGTTGCTAATTGAAAATCAATTCCAATTGAATAGCAATTCAAAAAAAAAAACATCTGTTTTTTTATTATTATTATTTCGTTAGTCAAAATTGTTGTAAAATGAATGAATGAGCGAAAACAACAAATCAATCCGTGCAGTCTCTTTAAATATTTTGGTCAATATAGTAGTAGTATGTATAATAAAACGCGGTGAAATCTCTCTTGTATGGACACAATCATCATTGAATCACTGAACAATGTGTTACGCAGATCATGTGCACATTTTCATTTTCTAATATATCATTTCGATCACAATGCAATTATATAAATCGATCATCATCGATTTTACACAACCCGACAAAATATAACCGAATATTTACAACTTATATGTTTGATTTCACATTATCTTGTTTTGTTTTCGTTTGTTTTTGATTTCACACGCAGAAAAAAATATATAATGATTTAGATTATGCTTCGGCTTTTGATTAGCAACGAAGAAAAAAAACAGTCGATTTTTCTTGTGTTGACAACAAGCAAAATAAGATTTTTCTTTTTTGAATAACAAAAGCAAAATTCAAAAAACAGGCAATTATTATACATTGAAACGACCAGAAATTGAAGAATATTCGTAATTTTTTTTTCTTTCTGAATGAAACAAAATGATAAGTAAATCTACATATTATTATATTTATATATCGAATTGAAGAAGCACTAAAATCAAAAATCGAATGGCAAGCACAAAATTGCATTCTCGGTGATTTTCATTGTATTCATGATGCAAATGAAAAAGAGTAGCGGCCACAAACTACATTTACGCGTAACATTTTTTTGGCGGAATTGGTTTTCACACATTGATTTTAAAAACAAAGAGCAAGTACAACTTCATCTCGTGAACAATTTTGGTTGAAAATGTTCGTGTTTTTTTGATTGTTTTATAAGTTATTTTTTAAGATTTCTTTCTTTCTAATTCGGGATGTGTGTGATTTTATTTTTCTCGGTCGTCTCTTTGGGGAAATCAATAAAATTGAATTATGTGGTTTTGCTACAATTTACATTTTTCTATTGAATATTCAGTAACCAAACCGAGCCGAGGTTACCAAAACTGTGATTTTCAATTGATCTTTGCATAGAACATTCAATGAAATTGTGTGTATCTGTGTATATTGATAAAACATGGATTTTGCAAATAGATTACATTCTCACTCTTTGGTCGATCTAGAAAAAGGATCTGTTTTTGTGCAAAATATATTTTGTATTGTTTCTGTTCGTATGTTCCTCCCATTTTTCGTAACTTTTGAAAAATATTTAAAATTCTTTTTTAAAAGTGAGTTGGGCCGATTTAAATTTGTTTTTTACTCTCCCTCTCTTCCGAAAAAAATTGTAGTAAAATCTTGTTTGATTTGTTTTCGTTTGTGATGTTTTGCTCGGTCATTTAACGTGATTCGGTGCGATTAGCTGCAAAAAAAAACATTTGGCAAATTATACAAAAACTAGCTAAAAAAATGTCATTTCAACACTGAGCTCGGATCGGGTCGTGCGCATTGTGTCGATCACTCTTTCTTTCAATCAGTCTATGTTTTGTATTTGCCGATCGGATTGCACGTATGCGTGTGCACACGCACCACATGTGTTGACTACAATTAATATCATTGTTCAGTGTAAATAGATTAAGTATTTATATGTACATTTTTTTTCGTGCTGAGAATGTTCATATTTGCTGAATGAGAATGTATAAATATTTTTTGATACATGCGTGCTGTTGACTGTTTAAATAGAAACATGTGTTTCATTTTCGCGTTTTTTTTCTCTCGCGAAAACTACCCGCAACATACATGTTTATTTATCGACGAGTTTTAAATTTTGAGTTTGAAACATCATTTTTTTCAAATTTTCTTCTTCTTTTTTTTCTATATCAAATGATTGTGAGTAATTTTCAGCTCTTTGGTTCATCCAGTTGGTTCAATTAAAATTGTGATCGTGTCAAAGTTTTGATATACAATTCATGAATCATCATCGTCAATTCAGCCCCTCCTTTTAAAAACAAAAATGTTTACGTTTAAAAATTGTGTGTGTGAGTGTGTGTTTTTTTTTTTCTTTTCTTCACTCATTTTGGATGAATATCATTTACTGGATGGATGGAAATAAGTTCTTAATTTTACGATAATTCGAATGTATTTTAGTCGTATCTCAACACTGTCTCTACCACTACATCGAACGGAATTTGAAACTTGCTCCGCAAATTTCTTTGTTTCATTTTCTCCCTCTCTTTCTATCTTTAATTGTGATTCGTTAAATTTCATGTTAAAATGATTCAATTGATAAAATGCCAGTCGGTTTAACTAGACATTGGATGGTCTATTTTTCTTATTCATCTTCATCATCAAATAGATTTTGCTTAGCTCTCGGACGTAAAATGTTTTACTTTTATTCATTTGAATTTTTCAATTTTCATGATTAAATATTTGTAATTTAAAACAAACAGAAAAAAATTCGTGGCAAGTTAGAAAACTGGCAATTTTTAGGCCGAATCAAAACGAAACGAAAAAACTTGATTAAAAACATTTAAAATCCAATTCAATGACAAAATCTAAATCTAAAAACAACATTGTTGTTTAATTTATTTTTTATTTGGACTGTGCTCTGTTCTCTTCAGGAAGGAATTTTGGCCAAATTAAATGTGGATGGAATTTACGATTAAATTTCTATATTTATTTATTGAAATGAAAATTGAAGTAACAGAGAACCAAAAGAAATATATTCGATCTTTTTCTATTTAAAAAAAAGACTTAAAATGAACACTATATTTATTATCTACGTATCTCTTCTTCTATACAATGAATTTGGCCGACTGATTGTCAGACTATTCGATTATTCGAAATGTGACTGTCGTGGAAGATTTTGTTATTTTTTTTTTTTTCAATTCATCGATAATCGAAGATCTCAACTGTGGAATTTTCATAGATATTCTTCTTTTTTGGAAAATATATAGTTGCTGGCAGGTAACATTTTCGTTGGATATTTGTCTGACAATAATAACAAAAAAGAACGAAAAAAGAAATAAAGTTTGTGGACATAATGTCACGGTAAGCACCATAAATACGAGGGAATTGTGTGTGTTTTATGCGAAGTGAAGCCGAATGACCATGATTTCATCGTTGCCAGCACGAAACTAAATCAACACTTTGACCGATACACATTGATACATTTCTTCTGTTCGCTTCGTTGTTGCTACAATTTGCTTTTTTCTCAACTAAAATTCACAGTATTTCCTGTACAAATTACAACTATTATATTTTACGCATTGAGTTTTTCCATTCCATTCACAACTTTGTTGTTCATTTTCTCTCGTACAACATTCACCATGCTGCGTTTAACTGACTTTTTCAATTTTATAATATATATTATGTGTGTGTGTGTGTCGGAATTTTAAATTTTTTCGTTTTGTTCAATAAATTATTTGATTTCGTGTTCACTGGATATACGAAACTGTACACAAATTGAATGATTTACAAATGAATTCAAAACTTATATCTTCTTTTTCAAAAAAAAAAAAAAAAATCGAAATTGAATCTCGAAAATTGAAGCATTTTCCCTTTCAAATGTGTTAGCATTAATTTTCAGTTTGAATAGTGAAATTTATTCACTGCAAACTTTTCTCTCATTCAAAATCAGAAATGTATGTATTCTACTTCTTTTTTTTGTGGATATTTTTGCTTTTCATTTTGTGGACGTTTTCTTGGTTCTTCCATATTGTTCAATATAAATGTTCAAATCCAATATTCAACAAAAAAAAAACATTTTGTTTCATTCATTTGTTTTAAAAATCAATTTTTTTATATCTGGATCTAATCCATTAATGGAATTTATTCGCACGAGATTTTTCATTGTTTAAATTAAAAAAAAAAATTTTTTTTGTTCATTTAGCTTTGCTCCGATCAAAAATTGCTTGCAATTTAAAAATTTTTTTTTTCATCTCACTTAAAAATGGGAATAAAGAAAGAAATTGAAAACGATTACGGTTGGTTAGTTTTTTGTGTTTTCTTTCTTTATCCGCGAGTAATTGTTTTTTTCTTCTTTTTTTTATGTTAACAAAAAGAATGTGTATACGTTTTTCGTTGTTGTTGGGGATTCGTATGCTATACAGTATATGTATGTTACCGAAAGGAGGAAAGTATTGTGTTGGGTGTCAATATTTGTGTGAAATTGCATCGGTGCGAAAAGAAAAAAAAATGTTGGTGTGTTGTCGCGAGCATTTATAAAATGTCATTTAAATGCTGATCATATTTGACATGTGCTCATTTCCCAACCGATGCTGGTTTTTGTTTGAGTTGATGTATTTTGCTGTGTTCAGAAGTCCGGAGGGCGATGTTTGGAAGTGTTTTTATTTTTGTTTGTTTGTGTTGAGAATTTGATCAGGCCACAAGAGATGAGTGGATACAATTATGTTATCATCAGTTTTCCGATTCGAATTTGTCGCTTTGATGTTGTTTCGATTGTTGTTGTTGTTTTATGTTCGTGTGTGTATTTCTTTGATTGCCATTTTTAAGTTTGCATTTTATTTTGCATTGAAAATGTCACCATTCACATTGTGGTTTTGTTGCTGCTGTTATTCTATCTCCTCTTATTGAAACATCATGAATATGCATGTCCTAAACTTTCTCATTGATCGTCAGTAGTTTATTTGGCCGGTTCTTATCGTTGAGTCGAATTCGTTAACCAATCCTTTTATATGCGACAGCTTATGGTGCAAATAATCGAACCTGGGTTGCGTGTATGGTAGAGAAGAGTAGAGACAATTAAAAAATTGCTTCTTGATGCATGTGTCTAAATTATTAATAAAATTTCATTTACCGTTTCTTTCTTTCGTGGTGCATTGAATTGCTCATCGTGCTATTATATTCTTTGAGAATTTGCTGTTGAATTTCCTGCAAAAATAAGAAAACACATGATTAAAAACGATTGAAATTAGATTGCGATTTGTATGCTTACTTTGTATCTTGGATTTTTGTGATCGGTTTTCCGTAGAAGATCTTCAAGTTGAGCAAATCGACTTGAAACGCGTTCGGTTTCCGCATGCAATTGCATATATTCCGCATAGTCCTTGTCAAATTCAGTCTTGTATAGACGCCGTTGTTCGACTGACGTAATTCTAGTGAATTTACTGTAATTTGTTTATTTGTGTTGTGGTTGTTGTTGATGTCGTTGTAGTTGTTGTTGGCAGCGACCATCAAAGAAAAGGATTTTTATCAATAAATTTTGTTTGCACCAAATTAAAATACAAACACACTACAGTATATAATTTATTATATTGTATGGGCAGATTCTTGTTGTATGAAATGCATTCAGCATGAACAACAACGATGCATACCTAAAATCATAGCCACCACTTCCGTGACCATCACTTCCGTTGATCATATTCAATGATGGGGTGCTACCATGGTCAACATGTCGCCGAAAATCACGTCCATCATCATCACAAATGTCCCGATCGTGATCTTGTTCACTATTTATTGATGACGAACTCGATGACATTCGCTTAGCTGCATCGGTGCTCGAGTAACCAAGACTTAAACCGCTGTCCTCCGATTCTTGAGCATTTGGTGTGACATTTGGTCTGTATAGCGCCGCATCAAAACGACCATGATGAACAACGAGAATTCGAAATAAAACACACAATTTTAAACAAACGCAAATCATATGATACAATTCAGTTCAATTTTTTTTTTGTTTTTTTTTTGTTCGTATCATTACGAGCCAGTCAGAGAAAAAAAACGTTTATAATATAGAAGTTTGTTTTCCCTTCATATTTTTTTGGATATGTGAAAATGAAATGCGTTGAACATTTACCCGTAAAAACTAGAGCGCATTGATGGCTCATCCCGTGATCTAGATTTCATACTCATGGAAGATTCTCTTGTGTCAAGATCACGCCGATACATGTCCATGTTATCATCACTATAAAATTAAAATTAAATCATTAGAGCCATTGCATTGGCGAACACAGTGTGTTCGTTTTATTTGCTCATTTCACCATCCACTACGTCATATGCATAATATGCATTCCGAGTTTATTGGCCGCAATGTTTTTTGTCTACTTTTTTTTTCTTCATTGAAAAGTGATTTGATTGTTTGTGAGCCAATATACAGTAAGAAATTTCGACTAGATTCAACGATCAAGGACAGATCGTTCAATTTTACATATCGATTTGCTTGAGCTCATAATCAATCAATTTATGCTTGTGAATTACAGCTACTTACAAGTCATGGTATTTCGACCTAGCGCCGATATTTGTGTCTTGATGGTTAACAATGTCTTTGCGATAATGACTAATTCTTTGCTTTTTACTCGTTGGACATTCGCTTGATGTGTATTTATCACTGTTTAATGGTGGCCGTTTCACAGCTGGCGGCGGACTACCATTGTGCGTACTTGTTGGACTCTGACCCGATGTTGACGAGCCGTCAGAGCTTAATGGGGGCGTTAGATTTGCTGGCTTTCTCCTGATTTTTTTTTTTTTGCAATTTTGAATATCGTCGCATGAACATTGAAGATTTAAAATGAAACAAAACACACATTAATATTGAATGAAAGGTTGCACTTGGAAATAGAAAAATAATTGATAAATTTACCTTTTGAGAGTTTGTCGATCTTGTTCGGTATAAAATGGCCAATCATCATGCACATCGTTCCACAGATGCCGATGCAAGTGATACGTATTATCGCGCATATATGATAAAGACTTCAGTATAGTTCCGATGCACCCTCTTTCACGTTCCTTAACACCCTCTAAAACATTCAAAACATTTGTGATTCGAGTTGCATCGAAAAATGCATTTCCATACTTACCATTGCTTATTTTTGAATAAATTTCTGGCTTTTTATATGGTCTTAGTGCTAGCATGTGTATCAGCCTTTCTCTGTGAATTTAAAAACAAAAAATGCATTAGTCTCATTTTATTTGGTAGTTGGCTAAGATCTAAATTAATTTTCGTTTGTTGCACTAACGCCGCTTAAATTATGCAAACGAAATTCGGTGTTTTTATTAATCGAATATAATTTAATTTTATAAAATTGATACGTTCAAAAATTCTCTCCGATTTTCCAACGCTAATAAATATGAGTCATTTTTTGTGTTTGTTTTAATCAATCGACTCAAGTTGTATCAATAGAAAAAAAATCCAGCTCGGTATAAACGTAGCAGACGAATACTCTATATGCATTCCTAGTGCGTCACATTAAGCAATAAAATTCTGCATTTCTCTCTAATTTCGACTATAGCTGTACAATGTTTCGTTTGTAATTAACAAACATATAAAAAATGCAATTGTAAATTGAAGCAAGTGAGATAATATATTTTTTTATCTCGTTGTTTGCTTTTATTGTTAATAAATTAAGCGTTTAAAGTCATAAAATGCGCCATGCAGCGTCTGAATATGATGGCATTTTCTTTGAATGATCGATTCAATCGTCAGTGTACAAATCCAAATTCAAAATCAGCTGATAATTCAGACAGCCAAAGAGACGATTCAACCAGCTTTATGGCTATTTCTTTTAGCGCATTGTTTTATCGGATTTATTTAATTTTTGATATTTCTTCGGCTGTGTTGTTTTCTTTTTCATTGCGCCATACAATTGAGTCACAAAGTCATTTGAAAAATGCAATTGCCTTTGTAATAAAACACTCTCAAAAATATCAATAAATGTATATAGTGAAGTCAAATCGACGAAAAAATTGCGGTTCGTTAAAAGGAGTGAAGAAAAAAAACATACAGACTTTGTGTCAATTTATAATTTTTTGTTTGGTATTGTGACATGCGGAATCTTCGGTGATAGAGATACAGACACACAACAGCAAAAATTACAGTAATTAAGCTGAAATGCCTTACATTTCATATTGAGAATGGAAAATATTGCCTTCGATCGGTACATTGGATCGAATAATGTGAAGCAAACGGAGAACAAATCGAATATTGTGAATTGCGTAGTTAATTTTTGCATTATTGTTCGGACATTTATGTGTATTTATTTCGTTAACAGGTGAGCTAAATAAAAATAGATGGATTCGACAGTCATATTTCGAAAAACAACTCGTTTTTATCATGCCATCTCTCAAGTTTTTTTTAAAAGTATGACGCATTTTTGAATGAACGATAAAATCAAACATCAAAACACGTTCAATTCCTCAATTATCACCAATTTTATGCAAAAACGATTGTAAAAAATTCTTGTGATGAGCTATTCACAATGATTTCTCACGCCATTTACTATGATAAATGAATGCGTCGATGTCATCATTCACCATTGTTACCGTTTCAAATGCTTTTGTGGCCGTTTTGGATTCATCCATTCGATATATTTGTCGAAAGCCGATAAAATAAATTCAATCATTCGTGCATGTATTTGTCGAGCATATGTTTGAAATTTTTAAGCCAATAATGCGAACGATTTGTGTGATTCAACTGTTCTAACTTGGTTTTTGTTTGTGAATTATCTATTTTTATCGAATGGCACAACATGTTGTGTGCGCACACCGGTTATATTTAGTTTCTTTTTTTATATATATGTTTGCTAATATAAAAGCTTGTTTGCTTATCTCAAATTGCATATACAAAAGATGCACACACATTCACACATTCGATGTTTAATTATGTCAGGGAGCCCATTCAGTTCCGGTATTCTGTGCGATTTTGATCTATTTGAATTTGTTTTTGTTTAAATAATTTCGCGCCGTTTAATCTTTCCTGTATTTTCAGGATGTTTAAATTGAGAACGCTCATTTATCGACAAATAATTCCCGTAATAAATCGTATGATTTTCTGCAAAACACCGGAGTACAGTGCATTTTGAGGTGTTGCTTGAATGTAACCATATGAAGTGTCGCATGTTGCACATGCTGCGAATCATAAATACAATCTTGATTACGTGATATTCATGGTGAATTGCATCAGCCGATTAAGTAGTTGGTAGATATGTTTGCAAACATAAACCACGACTGAACAAAAATCCAAACGAATTTGAGCAACTTTTTCGAATTCAACGGATACTTCATAATAAATCTTTGTGTTTGATATGAATATTACGTAATTATCACAAGTCAAACACTGAATCAATACCATTTGAAAACAGTCTAAGAAAGTATTTGATTACAGCGATTTGAATTTTACAGTAAATAAATTTCTTGAAAGTGCCAACGACATTGAAATATTTCATTTCGTTCGGCTCTTGAGTTTGTCCGGCATTCTCTTTTTGTTCGTTTGTTCGGAAAATCTTATTCTTTTTTTTTTATACAACAAATGTCAACAATGTACAATCTAATTAAAAAAAAAAAATCAAAGGCTAATCATTTCGGAGAATTGACCGCATAGCTTTGAACGGAAAGAGGGTCATTAGAAGCAACGACGAAAATAACAAAACGTAAAACAATGTTTAAAAAATAACTATAACAACGCGATATATGTATAAAATGCACTTACTTGATCGGTCGTTTCACAATTTCCGAATTCCCCCGACCATAGCTTTTTGACGATGAGCTGTTTCGACTATTCGCTCGATTTTGAAAGTTGTTGTTATTATGATGGTTGTTATTATTGTTGTTTTGCTGGTGATTGTTGTATTGGTGGTGATTGTGGTGGCTGCTAATATTGTTGTTATGATGGTGGTGTAAATTGTTTTTGATGGGCGACGGTGATGCTGTTGTTGATGTCACCATCGACGTCGTTAGTCCCGTCAAATGATTTTCTATTGAATTATTATTTATCGTATTACTACTATTAATATTTCTATTCCTATCCTCGGCATTCCCTGTGTGACCAAGATAAAAAAAACCAAACGAAAGAAATCAAAGCAATTAGAATTAAAGTAGCGGTTCATTGAGGGTCGATCGGTAGATCGGTAATTTTATCGGTGAAATACGGTACGGAACGGGAATTTATGCACAAAATAAATTGCAATCTTGATAACGCCTAATCTCATAACAAGCAATTTATTTTGCACAGTTCCCTTTCTGCATTTTAATTTATTATTTTACGGTACAAAAAAACAGACGTCAACAACAAAAACAAAGAAGACAAGAAAATAAAACTAATCATCATCAATACAAACACGTACTAGTTTCTAACTGAATCCAGCTATTTGGATTTGATGATGAATCAACATAATTAGACGACGAAGAAGACGAAGAAGAATCACGTTTGTTTAAAGTTGCATTATTATTTGTAGGAATGTTGGAAAGACGTTGTATTGAGGTTTTCACTTTCACTTTGCGCCCAATATCCGTTTGATTCGGTTTTATTTCCCGTGTGCTATGAGAGAGAAGAGAATAAAAAAAAAACAAATATAATTAGTAAACATTTTAATATTTATATAAATTATTAATTAAAGTTTGTGTACGATAAAGAGACGAAACGATGTCGAAAAATTGCAGTATAATTTGTTCATTTTTATTTGTTGTTCGTTACAGCAAAAAAAAACGACCCAAAGATCAGAATACAAATGGAAAGAGGTGAAAAGATGGCTGCTATGCATTTATGAATTCACTTAATCTTGAAAATGTATCTTTGACGCACTTGAAATTGAGAAGGAAGTATTTCAGATGCATTCTATTGCATCACTGCAATTTCCTGATGCACGTGTTCCTTTGCTATCAACAAAGTGCAAATGATGTTGGATTTATTTGCCATTTTTCTTCTTCTTTTTTGTTTTTCTCGCTCTCGTTTGTTCATTTTAAATGCAATTTGAATCACATTTATTTTCAATTGCTTATTTGTTGACACCGAAGTTTGTATTTCTCGATTTGCGTACATAAGTTCAACATCAACAAACAACAAGTTTTAAATGAAACATCGAAGAAAGAAAGAAAGAGAGAGAAAAAAAAATTGGCGATAATAATGAGCTTACGCTCACTGTTCAATGTTGCTACACTGCTGTTGTTCGTTGCTGCCGTCGCGATAATTGACACGTACACACAATCGCGTTAAATAGTTTCCTTTAAATTTAATCAAAAAAGGTGTCAATGTAATGGCATCAAAACAGAAGGTACGTTCTAAGCGCGTCAGTTCCGATTCAAACACGTCTCTCGTATTGAGCGTGTACTTGTGTGCGGTATTTGTTGTTTTGTTTTTCTTCTTTCTATTTTCAGGTCATGCCCTTACTGGTAATTACGAATTGCTACTAAAAAAATCGCCAATACGCTCGCAATAATAGCCAAAGGAAAGAACGAACAAGATAACAATCGAAAGAACGAGAAATAACGAGAGAGAGAGAGAGAGAGAGAGAGTTAGAATATGCATACGGTAACGCACAAATAAAGCGCCGCGAGCGCATTGCAATGCAAACACAATTAATTAATAGCCAGAAAATCGTTTCGTTCAACAAAACACGGGGTTTATTTCAGACGCCTCTTCTCTGCCATGTTGCTAATTCTTAGCAGCTTATTTTCGCCATAATAAAATCCATATAAATTGAAATGAAATAGATATGAACATTGTTGCATCAATATGCATTTGTTGTTGTCGTCGCTGATAATTGCACGATGTTTTAGATGTTTTTTTTTTTTTCTTTTCAAATCTAAAATAAATAAAATTGCGCTGCAACGATGCATATGTAACAATTGAGTAGTGTGAATCGACATAATAAGACATCACACTACAAATGTAAATTATTATCGTTGCAGACGATTTCATTTATTTGGTGCGAGCACAGTGAAAGAGAACAGTTAATTGTCTAGCGTACATTTTGATTGAATTTTATTTTTAATGCCTTTTGTTTTCGATTCGAGATTTTAAATAACTTTGTATGCGCATACATTGAAGTGTGTGAAAACTTGTCTCATTCGCTATCTCTGTCATTTTGTGTATGTGTATGTGTGTGTAGTGGCGGGAGAAAAAACTGTCACTGTAAGCTTGGGTTGATGCATCGCAGTTGTAATGGTGCCAAATGAGTTTGTGTGTAAAAAAACACACTGTCGCTATCCGCCAATTTAAAATGTATGAAAATATACACTTCTGGATAAAATGACACGATTTCAGCGTTCTGTGGTCATGGAGAATCACAAACACCAATTCAAAATGCAAAAGTATTAAGTAGTTGCAACATTCTGCAGTATTGCCCACACACTACTCTCTCTCTCTCTGGGTATACAAAAACATTTTCAAAACAAATACTAAGAAGTGAATAATTGCACGCTTTTTATCGCTATAACTTCGAATCGAAGCTTTATGCTTCTCGGTGATGCCATTTTCAATGTGTTTCATTTTAAATGGGGTTAAAAGTACGAATAGCCAAAAATATTATTGATTACAATGGAAAGCCATTTGCTAAAACTTTTTGCCTTCGTATTTGGTATAAACTTCCATAATGAAATAAATGAGTTATTATTTATTAAATACATTAAAAATTAGAGCAATCCAACCAAATGCCATTTGATTTATCCAATAATAAAGACGATGAAATGACCGAAGATAATTTAAATGCCATTTAAAACTACTCGGATGAAATTGTTGCGGTTTCATCATAATGAGTGTCATTTAATTCAATTGATAAAAGTTTTTCATTTGCTTGTATGGAAAAAAATGTGTGATTTTCAGTCAATTGGGATCAGATTTAATTGCATGAAACTTTTCTTCAAATTTCGATGTTATTTCGAAGAATGCTAGAACATTTTGGTTATGACTATCCTTTATTAATATTTTTTATCGTATAAATTAAGCACACAGCCGAAAAGCGTTGATATATTATCTCATTGTAAAAAAACAAACAAACCAAAACGACAGTGAACTGTGTCAATGTTAATAGACGACATTTTTATGCATTTATGAGATTTATAACCTCAATTCAATGCAAGAGTTCATTTGATCCTCTTTCTCTGCCGTTTTTTCTAACACATACTATTAGGTTCTAATCTTTAATTTGGTCTTCCGCAATTCGGTGTCGAATGACACACATCAATTCGGATAATCTAATTAATGAAATAATCAATGAGAATTGAATGTGCGTGTTATATTGTCAATCAAAAGGGTATTTCGATCAAGATGTTTGACTTCATCTCATTTCGATTTTGTGATTTTCTCGAGCCAGTTGCCCATATTGGTGATGTTAATTGAATTTTGGTTTCAATTTGATATGGGCTTTGTTGTCGTTTGAATAAAAACTTTTTAGTTTATGTGTGTATGGGGTATATGTCACTGACGGAAAATGCAATATGGATACCAAATGCGACACAACCGAGTCCATTGATACCTGCTTCCAAAATAGATGAAAGCTCATAAGCGAGTAAATGAATGTGCCAAACCATAAGTGAATGAACAAGAGAGAGAGAGAGAGAGAGAGAGAGAGTTTGTGTGTCGGTATTTCTTTATCAAATGCCAAACAAACAAAAAATACAAACGCCAAACAGCATTTCTCAAAATTGACGTGATTTAGTTTGCTTTTGTCGAAATTGATGCGATGCAATATGTGGCCGTGTCTATTTTATATGTATATCGAATATGTAATGTAGTGTGCTCAAAGTGTGTAAATTAATGGGGAGTGTTCGTTTGAAATATACGTGTTTGCCCGGTTGTAGCATGGCTTTTATTGATCTATTAAGACCATGGTGAACATTGACTGTCGAACACACAACTGCATGGTGTCAAGCAAGAAATGCATTGCCAACCAATAATATGCAACAACGCAATTATCCTGCGTTTTTGTGTGTGTGTGTGTCTGCTTATATGTGTTCATGTAACATGTATGCGCACACTTTCATGTCTTGACAAACCCATTATTTAGAACCATATCTGTCCCTTTCTCTTTTGCTCGCCTCTTTTTTTGGCTCAAACCTGGCATATATGAAAATATGGCTCGAATTCGATGGCTCGCGTTCATGTACAATGTTACGTAGATAACGTTGCCTGGTGTCGCACTATATTTTAATGAATGGAATTTGGATGCATGAACAACGAAACGCATTTTGGGGGAACGGTGCAACAAAAACACCATAATACATATATATCAATAGCATTTTGCACATTCACTCTCGGCCAAATGGAACACGAACACGAAAAATGTGTGTTTAACTGTTTATTGTCTCGTTTCATAAAAGTATGTTAAAGTTTAATCTCGACGAGCCAAAAATAATCACCCTGATAACAAAGACAATGAACGTGAATGAACGAACGAGAGAATTTCCCGACTGGGGCCAGGCTAGCTTTTAGCTGTTTTTCTCTTGTTATTTTTATGTGTGTGAATGCGTTGGTGACCAACGATGAATGCGCGCAAATGCCGGGAATGTAATTAAAATTGAGTGAGGTTTTAACTCGAAAACTTGTATGTGCAAGTGTCTATTTATGAGAGAGAGAGAGAGAGAGAGATACAGAGTGAAAATTCGCCATCTATTATAAATATAAACTCTAGCAATGGTCCTTTAGTATTTGCTCAGCAATTCATTTTTTTCTCTCTCTATCTCTCTTTCTCGCTCAGTCGTTCTCGATATTGGCCGGGTTGTTTGAACTGATATTTTTTTGGCCACTGTACCGTTGTCACACAAAGTTTACGGAAAACTTTAACTGAACACTGTGCACACCGCATCAATTGTTGTGCATTTCATCTTTGTATTGCACGATAATTTCCGTTTTATTTTTTCTCCTTTTTTCTCTCTCTGTCTCTCCATCGTTCGCTCTACTGTTGTTTTTGCTTTGACAAGTTATTTTTTTCTCGATCGGGTTTCGTGGAACATTTTGTTCGGTGTGTTTTTATTTCCAGTGTTGCTTTTGTTTTCGCAGAACTGCTTAATAATCCCATTGAATGAGCAATTCACTTGCATTCTTGTGTTGGTGTTAGTTTCTCCATAATTTTATCGACATGGCTATTAACGTTTTATGTGAGTGTTGCCGAAGCGAACAAAATAATCCTCGGCAAAGATTTTTAATCATTTGTGTCTCCGTTGCAGTCCATTTGTAGTCATCACAAGGATATTCAACTTTGTCTATTACACTCTTTTTGCTTTTCATTTCGACTTGGATTTTTCACGTACATTTTTGTTTTTTTCGTTTTCTATTCTCATTTATAATGCAATTTTTTTGCAAAAAAATGTGGGTGGGAAAAACTTATTAAACAACACTTACCATTTATTTTTCTGATTTTCTTCAGCCACAGCCATTCTATGTCTAGTTGCTTCGTACACATCTTCATTGGCATGTATTCGCATTTTTTGCGGCAGCGAACCCAAAACCTCCAATTGATTGTGATTTTGTTGTATGCATTCAAATGAGCCTTGCAATTCTTCGGTTTTTGTAACCGTAAAACTAAATTTTTGTCCACCCGACTTCGACAGCGATGGAAATGACAGGTACTGAAATAGAAAGAAACGAAAAAAAAGGGTATTTTATTAAATATAAAGTCGCAAACAAATTTATCAAATATCAAATATTTAAATGGAACCAGTTTCGGTTCGATTTGATTTGCCTCAGTTTCATTCACGCCGCCATTTTTGCTCGATTGGAGTGTGTGTGTGTGTGTGTGTGTGTGTTTTTTTCATGCTTTTTGATGATTTTTTTTTCATTCTGCCCATATACCCCTTTAACTTTTAAGGCCAGAAGAGAAACGATATCTTTTCGTTACTAATTTGCAACAGAAAAAAATGGTACATTACTTATCTTATTAATAATCGAAATGAGGAAATGTGCCACAGTCCATCAAAAATGCATAAAATCCAGAATGAGCAGGAATGATATAAATAAAAAATGTGCGTGCATAATGTTTATTGATTGACATGTTAATTTTTCGATTTCAATGACATTTTACCGCATAAAATGTGAAAGCAATTTTCAATTATGCCTCGTTGTATAAATATATAGTTTCGTTTTCATTGCTTTATTATAAAAGCCTTTTTTACTTGTTGGTGGATAAAATTTTGCATGCATCGAGCAGCTTAAAAATAAACATAGAACGTAAAATGTTTAATAGCTTTGAATGGTATCGATTACCATTTAGCTGAAAAGTTTACCATTTGATTTCACTTCTCTCCTTCTCTCTCTCTTTCTTTCTTTCTTTCTGCCATTTATGATTGAGGCAATCGATTTTGTAATAGCAATATACATTGATATTGTTCATAAGTTTTGATAATGGCAAAAGCGACTCTATTGTGCGAAAGCAACACAAAACCGTGTGTTGATATTAAATTCTGACAAGTTGAATACAACGGGCCGACTGGCGCACAGTACACAATATGCCAAAAAGTCAAGTGGTCTCTTATTGAGAATTCGACACGAATTTTGTTCAATTCATCGGTGAAGAGCACAATTAATTTTGTTGAGCTCCGCGTACAAAACTTTATTGAGAAATTCGCGGAAAAATAAAATCAAATGATGAAATCCTAAATCGAAAGCTCAACAATGAAATAAATTCACAAAGAATTATTTTAAATATTTATTTTGTTAAAAAAAAACCCAGACATTTTCCATCATCAAAAGCGTTCTAATGCAATGCAACAAACGAGTAATTGATACACAAATATCAAATTGATGAAACATTTTGCTTAAGCTTTATGTAATGAATGTTCACCTGAGCGCAACACACATACAAGCCGTCACAGGAAATAAGAGACGAATAAGAGAGCACTTTTCAAAATGCACTTAACAGAAGAGAGAGAGAGGGGAAAAAAGAAATCATAAAAGATTCGCACAAGAAACAGAACGCATAAACGACCACGGCAGATTGTTACATGAATCGATTTTAATGAACCTTTCGACTTTCTGTATAATATTGAAATGAAGTGGAACAAGAAGAGAAAAAAACGGTATACACTCGAAAGTACTTGGTCTGAGTAATAGATGAGTAGTAGAATGAATTAATGGGGGAGAGACGCAAATAATATAGAAATTAGAGGACAAAAAACCACTGCTTTGTATGTGTGCAGCACTCCAATTGGCTTCACTTCAAGTGGGTAATACGATGATCATGCATATATTAATAATAATCGGCAGTTGGCATCAACATTTTAATTGCGAAAGAATAATTGACGATTCTATTGTTCGTTTTAGTTCATTTTTGGGGCACAAAAAATACCATGGAAACATCCAATTCAAGTCAAATCGATCAAATAAGTCTATGCAAAACGCTGTAATCGTTGCGTTTATTAAATAAAAATTGCAAAAAAAAAATTTCTTTATTGTGATTGAACATATCGAAAATAAATAAAAAACAAAAACAAAAGCAATAGTAGTTTAAATGAAAACGAATTGGAAACAAAAACATATATATGAACTTAATAAATAAAAACCGTATGTTTTGTTCGTACATTGGTTGTTTATGCATTTTACAAACCAGATAAGAACAAACACATCTCGTTTGTTCGGTATAAAAATGTATGCGCGCACGCGCTTCTACACGCACCCATACGAATTGTAAAAATAAACAATAAATTGGCCAGAAGATGAAGAACCATGAACAAAATAAAAAGTACGAAACAATAAACAAAAATAAATGCGTAGCATTCTCATGACGCTAATAAATGAGCGAAACAAAAAAAAAACAATCAACTCAGCTGCGTTAATTCTGCTCACACTAGCTTCGAATGAAAAAAAATATCGATTTAAAAATTTCGAAAGTATTTTTTCCTTCGTTTTCTTATAAATTTCCGTACAAATTCCACAAAGCCACTGAATTTTATGAAAAGGTGAGCATTCACGGAAAGAATATGTTCCAGAAATGAATTATTCTGTTTTTGTGATAATTTCAGATGAATCCCGATCAATTCGGAGAAACTGTCGCATGACAACGACAAAAAATGGCACAACAATAATAAAAAAAGAATGTGAATAAATGAATGAACAAAAACAGATTTAAAACAACCACATAAGTGCGCACGCACAAAAATATATTGCGAGCGCGTGTTTATTTATGTCAATTCATCAAATATATGAATTAATGAATTTTTGTGCATTTGGATCGCACTCATCACAGTATATGCTCTCATCAACAACAGCAAACAAATAATACATCGCGCCCATTGTCTATGCTATACCACACAAACATACTTACACATTTGAATGTTGTGTGCTCAATTCGACCTTGGTCTCGTTGTAAACTACATGTAAATAGCGTTCAATAATAGTAATAATAAGGGTTTTTTTTCGCTACTTTCGTTCTTTGATTCGTTGTATTATTGGTTATTGCACGCATCTCTTAGTTGCTGTTGTTGGTGCGCATTTTTTTTTTCTTCTCTATACTCGAAGTACCGGTTTCAAATACGCAAATAACGTATATCGAAGAATTGCCGCTTTGTTTCTCTATGTTTGTCTCTTTTTAGCATGTTCGCATCCAATCGCAACTGAAGGTGAAGCATGATTAATATTTAGATCTCTCGCGATGTAGGTCAGCACGCCGCGTTGTCGACACACAGCTCAATGCTTCATTTCATTATGCACATACAATTTTTATTTAATTCGTGATTATTTTGACGAACTGACAAAAAGCCAATTCACAACAATCACACACAGAGAAGGGGGAGGGTGGAGGGAGTTAGAGAGAGAGAGAGAGAGCGAGAAAAAGAAATAACGGAAACAAGCAAAAACAACGACCTGTTGATAAAACAAAATGCCAATAATCTACGATGCAGAATGAGAAACTGATCACTTTGTAAATATTATCAGTTCGATGGAAAAATGGTTCGAATATTTCACTATTGATTGGTTGTTTTAAAACGCCACCATTTTGAACCACAAAATGTTAATGGGTATCAATTTCACATAAGAGCCAACGAATCAATTGTACGTAAATAAAATGACAAATAGAAAATTCGTTTGCAAAAATTACCAGCTAAACGAAACAACAATCACCACATTTTGCGTTATGTAATCGAAATCAGGTGATTTACCTTGGGACTTACATTTAATATATATCAAATAAGTGCGAGAATTAATTTTTTGTTTCTTTTCTTCATCTGAAATGAATCTAGACGTGTGTGAGCATATGCATATATAGTAATTCATAATACGTCTATGTAAATGTTTTAATGTAAAATTTGTTTGAAATAATTCTCGGAAACATTCGATAAAAAAGCGATTGGAGTGAAATACTGAATTAGAAAATAGAATTACACCATTTCGTTGGATTTTATGTTTAAATACTCTTTCGATTAAGTCGAAAATAAGCAAATTTGAAATGACATATGCACACACACACTCTCTCCCCCTCTCAGTCTCTCAATTTAGACATTCATTCACATTTGTTGGTGACTGTTTTTTTTTGCATTTATTTAACGTATTGTTTCGACACGTTTATAGTGGACGACGATTAAAAGAAGAAATTTTTGCATCACCACAAAGATCGTGAGATAAAAAAAAACAACCGAATGAAAATGAAACGAGATAAAATGTAGAAAAATCAAATGACAACACCGCCGCGTGTCCGGTGTAATGAAAAAACGATACATATAGACTAAACACAAAAACATGGCATTTAGTTCCGTGTTTGAGATAGTGGTCACAACACAATTCGTTTGTCATTGCGACCTTTCCTGTCTCTCACTAGCACACAGATTCGACCATTCCATATGCTTCTTTCAAAAGCTATTGTCCAATATGCATCTTATTGTATTGGCTTTGTCATTTTCTAGAGACGTCTCTCTTCTTTTTCTTTGCTTCATTCCATTTTCGAAACAACAACAAAAAATCATTGTGCGATATTGGCGAAACGAGTGCGCACCATCTCCTTTCCGCCTGATGGTAGTGTATAAAGCATAGATGCATAATAGCACACATATTTTAAATGAATCATTGATTTTACTTTTCACTCAATTCACATTCGAGACCATTTTCATTTCACTTCAATTTACTCGTATGTAACCTTTCGTTCTCTTTTTTTTCATAATCGTTTTTGCAAAATATTATGCCACATGTTCATTTGTGTCCACGCATTTGAGTTTTGAATTCTTGTCAAAGACTTGTATGTCCCTCCCTCCGAGGATCGAATGATCTACTCGTCATGCTTAAATCAATTCAACAGACATGAAATAAAATAAAATCGTTGTCATTTACATAACAAACATTGTGGACGTGTTTTTTTATGGATTTGAAAACGTCACACAATTTGACATTCAAATTTGCAACAAAAAAAACCGAAATGAAAACGATATTGCTCCTTTTTGCTGTGTCTCATTTTCGATGGGTTTATAACCTGATTCTGGACATAAAGAGACCATTCACAAATTATGCGATTATTGAATCATTTGTGATAAAGAAAAAGAAAACGAAGCGAATAAATATGCAGATCGGCCGACACAATGAGTTTCGAACGAAAATCGAGAATGGCCAAACTTAAATTACATGATGAAGAGAGAGAGAGAGAATA